CTGCCAGCTCCTGCCAAGACCTTCCTAACTGTTTAACTGAAGAGTTTGAATTACTGGTGTGGCCTGAGGAAATATCAGAATGAATTCAGCACGGGGAAGGGAAATCTTAGTACATTGGAAGGATCTTCCGGGGTTTGAAGATTCTGGCCTTCCGGGGAGACATAACATAGCATCAGACAACAATTTCCAACTTCCCAACTTGAGGGCAAGTTGGATTTTCAGGAGGGGAGATTTGATAGAGACTTTACTAAACTGAAGAGAAGAGATAAATACTCTAATAAAGTGTATTCTAGAAGGAAATACGGTTGTTATTAGTCTAGTCTATTATGAGCAAACAACTATCGGTGGTTAGCCTTGATTACTATAAATAGACTATAGGAGGATATTGTAAGTAGGCTGTTTTAGACATTTTAGTCTTGGGGTTGGAAATTGAGAGACGAGCTTCTCTTTCTTTTCATTTGGGGGCTTCAGCCAGTTGCCTAAGGAGATTTCAATAAAGGTTGCCTTGAGTTCTTGAATCAATTCTGTGATCTGTTAAGACTAGAATTGCAGGTATCTAACATATTCTTCCACCTTAGGATCTGTTCATGGAAATTTACCTCCATGTTTCCCAATTTAGTGAGCCAGTCTAATCCCAGATCTACATCAGTTTCTCCTAGTTCCAATATGTAGAAGGTTTCATTGATTTCATTCCCTTGCACCATCAATTGGATCCCCATACATCTGCCTTTGTTGTATATGACTTCACCATTACCTATTCGCACCTTATACCTTTCTAGAGGTTTGAAAGGTATGTCCCACTGTTTCACCAATCTTTGAGATATAAAGTTGTGGGTGGCCCCACTATCAATCAGTATTTTGACCTCTTTTTCCTCCATAGCCCACTTCAAATTTCCCAGAACCTTGAAGGTTCTCATAGAAGGAATACCCTCCTTGCTGAGTACAGATAGTTGCATAGATTTCAGTTCAGGTTGTGTCTTATCTTCTCCTTCAGTACAGCTGTAATTAGCTGTAATTACTTCCCTTGTTACCAAAGCTCTTCCATGATCTTTTTACTTCTTCCTTCTACTTCCTGGACAGAATTTCTTCATTTTTATCCTCAATCAGCTGTGCCTTATCCATGATTTTCTCCACGTTCTTGGTCTTATACAGCTTCAGTTCAGCCTTAATCTCCTTCTTTAACCCATTCAAGAATATGCCTCTCATCACTTTTCTGTCCAAATCTTCTTGAGAAGCAATAGCAGTTTCGAACTGTTCTCTGTACTCCTGTACAGAATTCTTTTGTTTCAGACTCAACCCTGGCCCCAAAGGATTTTGAATTAACTCTGGTTGAAATCTACGAATCAGTGCCTTCCTCAATTTTTCCCAATTCCTTCCCTTAGCTTGTTTCTCCCACCATTGGATCCATCCGAGGGCCTTACCTTCCATGGTGACAACTGCAACCTCACATTTATCTTCCTTTTCAACATTATTGAGTCGAAAATACCTGTCGATTCTGACAAGCCATCCAAAAGCGTCTTCTCCATTGAATAAAGGTAGGTCAACCTTCCTGTGAATCTGATGGTGATGTCGATGTCGACGCGGAGGAGAAAGCTCAAATTGACCTTCCGATTCCTCAGAACTATCACTCAATCGCGTCGATTGATGATGCGATGAATGACGCGATGTCGACGAGGCATGCGATCGACTTCGCGAGCGATGTTGTTCTCGCGTATCCAGCCTAGCAAGAACTTCAGTCATCATTTTCTTCAACTGATCTAATCGCGATTCCATCTTCACGCGCGTCAAAACCATCAACAACGATCAACCGCTCTGATACCAATGTTAGAAACCTGCTGATTTGATTCTAACAGAACAAATGATTGAATCATGAACGTACGGTCAACTTTATTTCTTAGGCAACAAGATAGAGGTACAACTCTTATCTCCCAATACAGACTACAAGTCAAAACAGCCTAACTACTACTCCCAGCCGTATACTATTTATAGTAAGGAAGTCTAACAACAGGTCGTTATTGTTTACAACAGACTTAACTAATAACCGACCCTACTTCCTTCTAGAATACACTTTACTAAAGTATTTAGCTCCTCTCTTCAGATTAGTAAAGTCTCTATCACCAAGTGCAAGGTCTCTATATGTTGGAGCATGACTAGCAAAATTGCCCAAAGGCCCAGACAGCCTTCTCACTAACATCATCACTGGGTGATTTAATAACATCATCTTTGGGTGAATTAAGAGGCTGTATAAACTATACAACTAGGGTCAGTCCCCTGGTCCATGACAAACCTTGTGTATCCGGTTGTCCTAGATGTAACATATACCGGTGCCCGAGCAACTTCAGTTTGCCATTGGGGTATGTCACCCCTTTCAAGGAGATATACTAAATATGGAATAGCTCCTGCTTTGTTCACCTCATCAATAGGAAGGCTACGCTCAACGGACAGAAGCTTTATGAATGGTATAGTTGCTATAGTCTCTTGAGAAGCACTGTTTTGAGTAAATCCATTATCACCCCTATCAGAATTTGTGTTCATGCCATGAACACTAGCATTCTCCTCAACTTGAATCTGCTCTTCCGCGAGTCCTGAGCTATAAATAACTTTAACTCCCCTTGACACTTCCCCCATTGACCTATGATTGACAGTAACTCCCATTTCTCCAGGGTCACTCTTAACACTCACAGACCGCAGCTTGGTCTTCAGAGAAGTGTTATCAGCTTCTCTAGCAGAATTTGGCCCTTCTGAGGGAGGTTGCGGTTGATTAAAATACTCCTGATGGAACGTTTGAGGTTCTGCATAGTGAGAAGCACTTTGTCGCGGATTGACAGAGGATGCTGAAGCCTAAGAACTGACCGTATCTGCTCGGGACGAAGATAGCAGACTAGAAACAGTTGTTTGCAACTGAGAGGAAACTTGCGACGTGTGAGAAGATGTAAGCGGCTGAGACGACACCTGAGAACTAGAAGTTACTGTTCGCGATGAAGCTGATGCGGCTTGTGATGACATCTGCGAACGGGAAGCTACCCTCTCGATCGCGCCTGACTTGGTCGTGAACTGCTGGCGGATGATGATGTTCGCGACTGCGAACTGGGAGCTTCTGCTCGCTTCAACACCTGTGTACTGACAGATCAGTTAGAGACAGCACCTGTGAACTAGGACAGACGGTCTGTGACTCTGTGAGTGTAAACTGGTAGAGACAGGCCGCAAGTGCGAAGCGGAAGATTCTCCCATTAATCGCGTCGCACTTTGACGCGAACTGAGAGAATCTGGTGGTGTGGAAACCAGCAGATGATGCACGATAATGCATCATCGATTAAGGAGAAACTGGCGCACGCGAGGATGCCTGCGAACTAGGAGGAGAGGATGATGATACCTGATTTGCATTTGACCAACGGCGTCTAAGAGGACCCCTCGCCTGCGACGATGTTTGCGCAACATGTGATGCAACTCTTCCTGCTACTCGACCCATGTAGGTTTCATCTCCTTCAGGTTGCGTTCAGTACTGTCCAGGCTTTTCTCCATTCGGGGTGTACATAATTCCTCCATCGCTCCAGGTAATTGATGTTATCGATCGATTCAGATTTTCTGCCTCCAGGAAGCGAGTGCTCTAATACTAATGATAGGAACCAATGATTTCAGAATAGATTAGAAGAAGTATTTGTCTATTAATTCTCTGAATACAGATAAGTATCCAGAATCCACCGGGAGATTACAGGAGAATGCAGAAGAAAACGAAGATGAATAGTAGAAATCGATAACGAGACAATTTCAAGAGTCTCTCTCTCCCAAGTCCAGAGCCTAACCCAATTTCTGCCTACACCTTTATTCCCTCCTTCCCACTCTTATAGTAATTATATTCTAACGGGCCAGCCCATATTTTATGACATGGCCCAGAATCATTATTTGTACAATACCACACTTATTTAATATCAATCTATTACTACTATTATTATTGTCTACAGCCCAAGGCCCTATCAATTCCATTGCAAATGACGAAGTTGAGGACGGGGATGCAACATGAGGACTTCCCAAGGGGTTACCCATCCGAATAATAATCTCACCCAAACACGCTTAACTTCGTAGTTCTGATGAGATCCGATGCATTCGTTTTGATGGAAACCTGCCCCGACGCGCTTCCCCTCACCATAACTACCGCCCCACACCTTACCATCATCGCCCACCTACCTAGTCGCTGTCAGCCCACCCATAGCCCACCTGGTAGCCCTTGTCATTGTCCTACCCATAACCTAGTCACCTCTTAGGAGCAACCATTTCAATCGGAATCTCCTCCTAGCATACTGATGTGTTTTGATCAGTCGAGGTCTAAATGGAAGTAATCAGAAAGGTCGAGAGAAGTAGGTGAAGGATCAATGTGCGAACCTTTGAACAGAAGAAGAGGAGAATTGGGAGAAGGGACTAACCTGTGCGGCAGCGGCAACGGCAACGGCCTGAGATTGTGGAAGCAGTCTTGGAGGAGCAAGGGGGAGGGCTGCTGGCCGGGGAAGGGGAGAAGCATCGGGGCGCAGGAGAGCCGATAGAGGATGGCAAATTTAGTGATATTTAAGTCATTTTGATTTTAAAGCGGTCTCTTTTTTGTTCAAATGAAAATTGGTCCTATTTTTGTCTAATAAAAACTTGTAGGTTTTATTTGTCATTCTTTCAACATATTACTCCATTAAAAACATCCATGAAAAGGATCTTAGTCAGTCTCAAAAGGTGGTCACAAACTTCAAACTAGAGAACACAAACTAAGATTAGATTAGTCTACTCAAACAGTCACCATGCATGTTGAATCGTCTCAGAATTGGAACCTCAAGTCTTAATATCAGCCTCTTAGTAGGATGGTTAATTCCCACCTAGCCATCATCTTTGTCTCTAATTGTAAGTACCTACTCGTATAATTCTCTAAGTGTAATGTTGCAATAAAGTTGTATGTGTCTTTAACTTGCTTTCCTTTTTCCTTCATTTTTTTCCTATTGATATTTGTTCTTACTCTATAGGCTGCAGAAGATCGGTCTCAGCACATGAATCGTGCCTCGGCACTTAATCGATTGCGAGCTCAACTGGCTCTTAAAGGTTTGTTCCCTAAAATTTAGAAACTTTGCATCTGGTGCCCTAATATTTTAGAAATTTTCCAATATAACATTAATTGTGGGGGGATTAGAGTTTGCACACCACCTTTTTGGAATCATTAGTATTTGCACACTGCAGAGCATAGTTTAGGGTTCAAACCATTTTGTCTTTGAAATTGAAGAATATTAATTTTTTTAGAAATGGGTTGCAATTGTGCAAACATACTTCCAAAGAGTAGGATACGAACTCCAATTTCCTTTTTATTTATTTACTCCCTCCGATTCAAAAACAAGTTCCACATTTCACTTCATACATATTAAGGAAAGAAATTTGACTTTACTGTGGAGTGCACTGTTTGGCACTGTTTGGACACTGTTTGACACTGTTTGGAACTGTTTTGATGTAGATAATTGTTAGAGATTATCACACTGAACACACACACTCTGCAGTAATTAAAGACACAAAGATTTAAGGTGGTTCAGTCGTAATGACCTACATCCACACAGTTGCAACTAGAAGATGTATTATTTCTGTTTTGCTTCTCAATTTACAAATACATCAAGAGGATATTTATAGAGTGGGAATAGGGTTACAATATGGGCTCTACCCTAATGGGCCTGCTGCCCCCTTAAGCCTCCATACATTACAATCTCCCACTTGGAGGGTTTGGCAAACTCCAAACTGTCTCCGTCTCTTCACTTGACACTTCTTGTACCTCTGTAAATTCTTTTCTTCTAGCAGCAACGCCTTCTCATCATTATTCCTGAAGGCCAGTTGAAGCTATGCATAGCTTCAACTTCTCTGAGGTAACCACCTTAGTTAGCATGTCTGCGGGATTCTCTGTTCCTTTAATCTTTTCAAGCTTCAATGTTCCATCATTGATAAGACCTCTGATGAAGTGATATCTAAGCTGAATGTGTTTCGTTTTTCCATGAAACACGGGATTCTTCCCCAGATGAATTGCACTTTGATTATCACAAAACAATGGACTGTCAGGTTGTTTCTTCCCAAGTTCTTCCATAAAATTTTTCAACCAAATCAATTCTTTACTGGCTTCAGCACAAGCCATGTATTCAGCTTCAGTTGTTGAAAGAGCAACGCTCTTTTGCAATCTGGACATCCAACTAACAGCGGTTCCTCCTACTGAAAAAACAAACCCAGTTGTGCTTTTATACGTTTCCTTGCATCCCCCAAGGTCAGCATCCGTATAACCCCTAAGAACAATGTCTTTGCCTGAGAACCGTAACCCTGTCTTCGAAGTGCCTTTCAAATACCTTAGCAGCCATTTGACTGCCTCCCAATGTTCTTTCCCCGGATTGGACATAAATCGACTAACCACCCCCACTGCGTGTGCTATATCCGGCCTTGTGCACACCATTGCGTACATAAGACTGCCTACAGCTGATGCATAGGGAACCTTGGCCATTTCGGCAATTTCTTCATCCGTCTTTGGTGAATGGTCTTTTGAAAGCTTAAAGTGACTTCCTAGTGGATTGTTTCTGGTCTTGGCATCTTCCATTTTGAATTTCTCTAATACTTTTCTGATGTACTTTTCTTGAGAGAGTGTTAGAGATCCGTCTTTGTTCCTTGATATACTCATTCCGAGTATCTGTTTTGCAGCACCCAGATCTTTCATTTCAAATTCTTCTGACATTTGCTTCTTCAGTTTCTTTATCTCTTTCATATCAGAACCAGTGATTAGCATATCATCCACATATAGGAGGAGAATGATATAGGACTGCTTGAACTTCTTGATGTAGCAGCAGTGATCCATTTCACATCTCTTATATCCGGATCTACCCATGAAATTGTCAAATTTCAGGTACCACTGCCTCGGAGCTTGTTTTAACCCGTACAAACTCTTCTTCAACCTGCAAACCATGCTTTCTTTTCCCGGAACCTGAAAACCTTCAGGTTGTACCATGTAGATATCTTCATTCAAATCTCCATGTAGAAAGGCTGTCTTTACATCTAGTTGCTCTAGATGAAGATTCTCTGCAGCAACAATACACAGGACCAGTCTTATAGTTGTCATTTTCACAACCGGAGAGAAGATTTCATTGTAATCAACTCCCGATTTCTGTTGGAAACCCTTGACCACTAGTCGGGCTTTGTACCGTTTGGTACCATCGTGTTCCTCTTTGACCCTGTAAATCCATTTGTTTTGCAATGCCTTCTTGTCGGGGGGAAGGTTTGTCTCCTCCCACGTTCTGTTCTTTTTCAATGACTTCATCTCATCCTTCATTGCAATCTCCCACTGCAATGAATCTTTCATTCTGACTGCCTCTGTATAACTTTGAGGCTCTCCATTCTCTGTTAACAACAGAAAATTAGCAGATGGAGAATACTTCTCTGGTGGTACCGATACTCTAGTAGATCTCTTGACCCACTGAGTCTGAGGGGGCTGTGAGGCATGAGCTGTAGTTTCTTCTTCGTCTTCAGAAGTACTGTCTTCAGAAATACTGGTTGGATCCTCTTGAGAACCACTTGTTGAGCCATTTTGAGGTTCAACTTCTGAGCTCCCACTGTCTGAGACACCTGCTGGAGCTTTAGTTTTCAGTGTATCTTCAACCTCTGTATATTCTTTCTGAACTTCTGGTTTTGTTTTGCTTCGGTCTTTGTATAACTCGGCTTCATTGAAAGTGACATTCTTGCTTCTGATTACCTTATGTTTATCGAAATCATAGAGTCTATAACCCATCTCGTCTGACCCATAGCCGATAAATGTGTACTTCTTGGCCTTGGCATCTAACTTATCCCTGTTTTTCAATAAACTGTAAGCAGCACATCCAAAAATTCTTAGATGTGTAAGTTCTACCTCCTTTCCTCTCCATTCTTCCTCTGGTATTTTGAAATCCAAAGGGACAGATGGCCCACGGTTGATCAGATGGGCTGCAGTGTTAACTGCATCGGCCCAGAACATCTTGGGCAGACCGGCATTCAACCTCATGCTTCTAGCTCTTTCGTTCAAGGTTCGGTTCATCCTCTCAGCAACTCCGTTTTGTTGTGGTGTTCCCAGAACCGTCTTGATCATTCTAATTCCTCTTTCAGCACAATAGTCAATGAACTCTTTGCTAATGTACTCCCCTCCATTATCAGACTCGATGCTTTTTACCTTCAAATTGGTTTCCAATTCAACAGCAGATTTCCATTTCTTAAAGGTATCAAAAACATCAAATTTATTTTTCAAGAAATAGACCCATACCTTTCGTGTTGAATCATCAATAAACGTAACATAGTAGTTTGAGCCTCCCAGAGATGAGACTGTTGTTGGTCCATATACATCCGTATGCACAAGCTCCAGCTTCTGTGCTTTTGGCGTCTTTCCTGTCTTCAAGAATGTAACTCTCTTCTGTTTGCCAAGGACACACGATTCACAGAATTTAGTTTCCACTTTCTTCATGTCTGGAAACTTTCCCTTATCGGCCAACATTTTTAGTCCTTTGTCGCTCATATGTCCAAGACGTTGATGCCACAAACTGGATGAAGTCATACCTGAAGACATAGCATGAACACCCTCTTCGGGTATTTCCGTCATGTAAAGAGTTCCTCGTTTCTTTCCACGAGCTATTACCATGTTACCTTTGATCACTTTCCATTTTCCACCCCCAAAGTGAACATCCAACCCTTGATCATCCAACTGACCAACTGAGATCAACTTCCTCCTCAAATTTGGAATAACCCTGACATTTTCCAATGTCCACGTAGTTCCCAAAGAGGTCTTCAAGTCCACATTACCAATCCCTGTAATGTTAAGTACCTGGTCATCAGCTAAACGAACCTTACCATGATTACCTGTTCGTAGGTTTCTAACCATATCCGCGCATGAAACAGCGTGAAATGATGCTCCTGAATCCATGATCCAGGATTCCATAGAACTCTCAACACAACAGATGAGAGCATCATCGGAATCTGATTCTGCCACATTATTTACCTGTTTGTTTGCGGATTTTGTCTTTGGGCATTGACTTCTAAAGTGACCTTTTTCTTTACAGTTCCAGCATTCAATATCAGCCCTTGATTTTGACTGACTCCTCCTTCTAGACTTTGACCTGCCTCTGTTCTTCCCTTTTTCAGCCTTTCTACCCCTTGATTCAGTGTTTAACAAGGAGTTAGAAGATTCACTGGATGTTCTTCGTCTTAAATCCTCTCCTAGGATAAAGTCACGTACTCCCTCAAAGGTAAGTTTAGAATTACCAATTGAGCTACTGACGGCTGTGACCGAACTTGACCAACTATCCGGTAATGAGGATAATAACAGCAGTGCTTGAACCTCATCCTCAAATTTGATTTCTACAGATTGCAAACGAGAGACTATGACATTAAACTCATTTACGTGAGCTGCAACAGAATCTCCTTCCTTCAATCTGGTGTTAACCAGCTGTCTGATCAGAAACACCTTGTTGGAAGCAGATGGCTTTTCGTACATGTTGGATAATGCTTTCATTAACCCAAAAGCTGTTGTCTCGTGCTTAATGCTGAAGGCAACATTCTTTGCTAACGTAAATCTGATATAGGATATTGCTTTCCTATTCAAGGTTACCCAATCTTCAGCCTTTGTCTTCTCCGGTTTCTGTTCTTCTAAGGTTCCATCTAGATCTTTCTGAGTCAGCAAATCTTCAATTTGCATTTTCCACCATCCAAAATCTTGCCCATCAAACTTTTCTATTTTCAACTTTCCTTCCTCTACCATTAAATATAACAAAGGAATAGAAAATAGGGAACAACAAGAAAACCTTATCTGTGTTCTTGTAAAAAGACTGCAATTAAACTGATGGTGACGGCGGACTACCACAGACGCAGTTTCCGGCGGCTGACGGTGGCTGAGGACGGTGGATTACAGCGGCTGGACTGTAAAACTGCAATTCAACCTTACGCGATGACGGCAGCTAGGTTAATTGCTGTTTTCCGGCAGCGGAGGCGGCGGAACCCTAATCCGGCGGCGGCGACTTGAACTGCGGCTGACTTGGAAAACTGCAATTGAACCTTAGGCGACGGCGGCTAACTGGTCAATTGCTGTTTTCTGGCAAGGCGGCACCGGAATCCTGTTCCGGCAGCGGTGGCAGCGTCGGCGGCAGCTGTAGCAGAAAAACGAACTTCTTTGCTGGTGTTCTGTGATACGAGCTAGAGCCTAGCTCTGATACCAGTTGTTAGAGATTATCACACTGAACACACACACTCTGAAGTAATTTGATAGGAACCCCAAGAATATACAGCAATTACAGGAAATTACTATCAAGAAACAATTGGAAATTCTTATTAAGGAAGATGAACAGTACAATTTCTATGGCCGAAGCCCCCAATTGAGCCGAAGCCCCCCAAAAGAAAGAGACACAGCTCTAACTTCCCAGTCCAGACAAAAGTCCCAAAAAGCCTCCTCACTAACTCTCCCTTCCCGTCTATTTATACTAGAGTACTCACAAACCCTTATTACTAATATTATTATTATTACTCTTATTATTAGTCTAATAGGTAGGTCCCTATCAATACTCCCTCCCTAAACATCCACCTTGCCCTCAAGGTGGGGAGATAGGAACCAAGCTTGGAATTCAGCTTCCTCCTGGTGCCTCTCCCTTCCCAATATCTAGCTGGTGGTGGTGTCATACTCTTCCATACTTCTAGTCCTCTATCTGAAAGACTCCTGACCAGCCTCAGCCTAGCAATTGCTTCTGACTTCACCCCATCTCTTGATTGAAACTTCACACTGAATCTCTCATGCAGAACTTCATTCACACACATGTCAGAAGGAATTTTAAGAAAACTTGAATCGTAATGTATTTCTCTTTCTGAATTTAAGACTTCAACAATATCTGATGGTACTCCCCCATCATGAAACAGAAGTAGCATTTGTCCCATTACACTGCATAGCCAGATGTCTTCTTTAAGAACATGCTTATTTTCCTCAGGCAATGAACACATCTGCTGAAATGCAGGAATAGCCAATGCAAATTTAAAGGAATTAACAATTTCCAAAGGACCATAAAGCCAGCTATCTCCCTGGCTGGTCTGTCTTAGATAATTTTCTGGCACTCCAAACGACCCTGCCAGGAAACAGACCGGTTCAACATAGAAATTTTCTGAAAATTTTTGTGCAACAACAACAACTTCGCCTAGAGCTTCCCGGTAACTCTTAGGAGCCCTCTTCTGTAATACTCTTGTGAAGTTGTCCAAAACATTAGGAAGTGATAGGCTATGAACAGTCTTTGCAGTGATGTCTCCCAAATTTAGATATCCTTCTAATGCTTTCAATGGTTTATGTAGGCCAAGCTTGGGGCAGCTTCTCATGCTCTCAACAATTAGCTGTAATTCTATCCCTTGAGCTTCTGATAAGATTTTAACACTTAAGATTGCAGGTTGCAATGTATTTCTGCCAAGATGTTGGAAAGGATTAGACTTATCAGCATCATGAATCTGTTTGCGGTTTCCAAAAATGATAGCAGGTCCTCCTGAAACAAGCTTAACCTCCTCCTCCTGAGCTTCTATACCCGATCTATTTTTACCAATGCATAATCTTTCTGAAGACCTTTCTCTTGGCTGTAAAGATAGTTGACTTTTGACTAGAACTGTTTTAGATGCAATTTGGGCTCTATTTTTAACAGAACATGGTTGAATAAGCTTGTCATCAATAGAAACTTGGCTGGAAATTAAATCCACATCCTCTGCAAGATTAGAAGAAACATAATCTGACCCTTGAATAACCTGCCTTTTCTCCTTGATTTCGTCTTTCTTATTCACTTGCTTGATTACAATTTCAGTTGGTTCCATCTGGGTCTTCTTTGTGTACTGGTAAATTTCTAGTGCTGATTGAGAAACTTGTGAGCGAGAAGTTCTTTGCGACCTCGATGACTCCTGTTTTCGCTGCCTGCTTAACGATAATTCCTGCGAACTGAATGAAGAAGTTCTTGATTGCGAATTGGAAGAAGTTCTTCGTGACCTTGGGGATTCTTGCCTTTCTGTTCTTCCTGTCTTCTGCCGGTGTTTAGGTGGAAAATCCTTAATCAAATCTTCCTTTAGAGCCTTCCAGCTATCTTCCCTCTTTTGATACTCCCACCACCATTTAAACCAGCCACACGCGGCTACCCCCATAGCCTCTTCTGCAACGTCCACTTTGAATTTTTCTGCAATAGCTTGAACTCTGAAATATTTTTCCATCTTCTCTATCCATTCGCACGCTTCATCCTCATAGAAAAGAGGTAATTCCTCTGTCTGTGAACTAGCTGACTTCCGAGAATTGACTTTAGACGAATAAGGCGCACTCTGATGCGAAGAGCGATGATAAGAGTGATGAGCAGAACTCTGCGAAGAGCGACAAGAGCGATGCGAAGAATTCTGCGACTGTGAACAGTGATCGGTAGTTCGCGATTTGGACTGCGATCCCTTCTGCGACTTGGTCCTCGATCGATCTCCAGGTCTTCTGCGAAGACTCTGTTCTTCTGATTCCACTGAGTCAATCGGATGTTGCGTACGTCGATGATGAGAGTCGCGATGCGACCTATGCAAGGTGTGCGATCGATTCCGCCAATGACCTTGAAGTCGGTTCTGCAAATCTGCGATGCCATCCTGCATCGTCGCTTGCATATCAGCCATCATCGTCGCTAACCTAGCGTTTGACTCCCTCATCAGTCGGTCAATATTATCAAAACTCTCTTCCATTTGAGGTGTCATGTAGAATTCCTCCTCCATGCTTCAGATTTCCGTCTCCAGGAAGTAAGGCTCTGATACCAATGATAGGAACCCCAAGAATATACAGCAATTACAGGAAATTACTATCAAGAAACAATTGGAAATTCTTATTAAGGAAGATGAACAGTACAATTTCTATGGCCGAAGCCCCCAATTGAGCCGAAGCCCCCCAAAAGAAAGAGACACAGCTCTAACTTCCCAGTCCAGACAAAAGTCCCAAAAAGCCTCCTCACTAACTCTCCCTTCCCGTCTATTTATACTAGAGTACTCACAAACCCTTATTACTAATATTATTATTATTACTCTTATTATTAGTCTAATAGGTAGGTCCCTATCATAATTAAAGACACAAAGATTTAAGGTGGTTCAGTCGTAATGACCTACATCCACACAGTTGCAACTAGAAGATGTATTATTTCTGTTTTGCTTCTCAATTTACAGGTGCATCAAGAGGATATTTATAGAGTGGGAATAGGGTTACAATATGGGCTTTAAATATGGGCTCTACCCTAATGGGCCTGCTGCCCCCTTAAGCCTCCATACATTACAATAATTTGCCAAATAAGGAAAAGATTGAAAGTGGAACTTAATTTTGGAACTGCCCGAAAAGGAAAGGTGGAACTTGTTTTTGAATCGGAGGGAGTATTTGTTTATTGCCACTGGGACACTAGACCCCAAACAATATGGTTTTAACTTGTGACTCATATGACTTTGCATCTTTCAGTTTAGTCTTGAAAAACATCAAGACCCTTCCTTGACACTTATTATTTGGTGAAAAAAGATCAAACACTATTCTCATCCCGCTTATGATCTTACCTTTGTTGCCAATTAGGCAATTAGGGGCCATAATTTTCATTGGAAAGAAACTTCACAAATAATATTCCAATATTGTTTTCTGTCCATCTCTCAAAGATTACTTTGAGGCTAAGGCTTGGATGTTATGATCTCTTTTATTTACTTTCTGGGACGTTGGTATGTTCCCGGGCTAGAGATCACGCTAGCAGCAGTTGGTGAGGAGAGAGGGACGTGGCTCCTTTATATTTGCAGGCAATATAGGGGAAGTAAGGGTGCTGAGGAAGGGATAAAGCTTCAATAATTTTTTGGAGTTCCTCTGTCCTTAATAATGATTCAATATCGGCTTGTTTATTATTCAAAGGAAGAGTCCCTACTTCTAGAAAGGGTTTCAAGCACCAGTAAGGAAAGATAGGATTACATAAATTCAATTCTTAAAATAAACTCATTGAATGATGGAAAGCAATAAAGGTATAGATCAACTTAATGAAAAAAAGCAGTTAACCAGTATAATGAAGGAATTAATATCCTTCCGTACTAAACTGCTCAATTAGCCAAGGATTTGCCCTTGATGTTGCGACGTTTATAAGACTCTCCAAAGAATGCATTAGGCATAGGGAGTAAAAAATATCAAATATTCAAATATAGAATTTGTGTAGAAGATGGAGTGTTCACTATGTACTATACTCTCATAGTCCCATTACCTATGGGCCTACCTTAAGTTGCCATGTATGTCCCCTTAAACAAGCATATATGGCTCTTATTCTTGAATATCTTCTGTCAATGTAATCATGTAGGACTCATCTGATAATGCTTGTTTTATAATCCAATGTGTCAGTGAGGAACCACGTAGATCTTGATGCTTACGTACCTCCAGAAGAGCTACTTCAGATACTTCCCGCTAAATCATCTATCAAGGGGCCTCATTTTGGGCCCAAGATTGGACCAAATAATGCAAATTTTATTCCGGTTCCATCACACCCCTTTATAATATCATTTGACTATTATATTCGTTTTTAATACCCCCCCCAAGCTTTATGATCACTTCTCCCCATTTTGTTTAACCCGCAGGGAATGCAAGCATTACTTGATCTAGTTTTTGCTGTTGAGGGTTCTGTATCTGAAGCAGCTAAGAGGTTGGGGTATGTGATATAATACTAATACCCCTCCCTTGCTTCTACGTAGTATTTGTCTGCTTCCATGCTGATAGGGCCCTGGGCTGTAGAGAATAATAATAGTAGTAATAATTGATACTCTTAATAAATAAGTGTGGTATTGTATAAATAGGAATTCTGGATCATGTCATAAAATATGGGCTGGCCCGTTACAATATAATTGCTAGAGGAGTGGGAAAGAGGGAATAAGGGAGTAGGCAGAAATTGGATTGGACTGGGACTTGGGAGAGACGAGGCACTCTCGAATTTGTCTCATCTGTATCGTTTCTTTTCAGTTTCTACAATTTCAGCTTTAATATTCAACAATTCATCGCCAAGATATCCGTGTACCTAACATTGGTGTCAGAGCAATCGCTCCAGGAGCCTGAATCGATCATCAGCTTCAATACCTAACCTGGGAACTGTTTGTCAATGTCTGCAGTAATTCCCATGAGTCCTCAAACGTTGGTAGATCCTTCCAGTGTACAAGCACTTCCATCTTCCCTTCTTTGTTAACCCTTGAGTTCAAAACCTCTTCAGCTATCACCTGTAACTCTAATTCTTCACTGAGACATTTGGGTAGGGGTTGATAAACAGTTGTAGGTAATACCGTAATATGGCTTTCTTCAATAGTGAGATATGAAATACTGGGTGTACTTTACTATCTTATGGGTAATTTGAGCTTAAAAGCCACAAAAGTTATTTTTCCAATAACCTCAAAGGGGCCATAGTATCTGGGGCTTAGTTTCTGATTTATTCTTTTAGCTAAACACTTTAGCTTGTAGGGTTGAATCTTCAGATAGACCATATCTCCAATTTCCAACAAGACCTCCCTCCTATGCTTGTTGGCTTGCTGTTTCATATAATTTTGAGCCCTCTCCAGATTATCTTTCAATTCCCTAATCATCACATTTCTACGAACAGTCAATTGAGATACTTCCTCCACAGCTGTAAGAGTTGCATCCCCTCTAATAACAGCAGGTCGATCCTGACCGTATAAAGCTTTATAGGGTGTCATTTTCGGTGATGTATGGTAATTGGTATTATACCAAAGCTCAGCCCAAGCCAACCATTTAACCCATTATCTGGGTTTTCTCCCTGTTAGGCATCTCAAATAAGTTTCCAGGCACCTGTTGACTACCTCAGTCCGACCATCAGTCTGAGGATGGTAAGCAGTGCTGTATTTTAGCTGAGTTCCAACAATCTTGAACAGCGCTGACCAAAATGTACTCAGAAAAATACTATCCTTGTCACTTACAATAGTTTTAAGAAAACCATGTAACCCTACCACCCCCCTTATGAACAATTCTTCCAGCATTAAATGGGTGAGAAAGAGCCAAAACATGAGCAGATTTGGTCAATCTGTCCTCAATGATCAAGATAGTATCCTTTCCCTGAGAATATGAGATTTAGGTAAGCCACCAATAAAATCCATACTAATCAGTCCATATGCTCTGAGGAATAGGCAGTGGTGGTTTAAGAGCTTGGTATTTGTTTGTTCGGCAAATAGCACACCCATCAACATATTTCTTTATACCTCTTCGCATACCATGCCGATAAAACAAATTAGAAATCCTTTTCATGGTCCTAAAATAACCTGAGTGGCCCCCCACTGCAGAATCATAATACTCATTCAGTATTTTGATTACTCTAGGGGATTCTCTTGGTAACACCAGTCTCTTGTAATAAAGTAACCCCTTAGTAATCTGAAATTCAGAATTTTTGTCTGGCTGAGAAATGATACTTTGAATTATGGCTTGACATTTAGGATCTGCAATCAACTCCTCTTCTAATCCTTCCCACTCTTGGATGTCCATTTTTGTTGTTCATCCCCCATCAATCTGTGCTCAGTCAGAAACCTTAAGCTCTTTTGATTAACGGGAACTTCATAGGTTCTCCCCAGTAAATATGGTCTCCATTTTTGGACTGCTAGTACAATGACCATTAATTCCCTTTCATATACTGACCTGTTATGATTTATCTTAGATAACTCCTTGCTCATATATGCAATAGGTCTTCCCTCTTGCATCAAAACAGCTCCAAGACATGTCCTAGAAGCATCAATTTCTACTAGAACACTTTGTTGAAATCTGGGGCTGCAAGAACTGGCAAAATGGTCATAGTTCTCTTCAACTCCTCAAAAGCACTGATAGCAGATGGTCCCCGTTGAAAGCGGTCCTTAAGAAGTTGTGTCAGGGGTAAAAGCAATCTTGCTATACCCCTTCATAAACCTTCTGTAATATCCTGTTAATCCCAGAAAGCCTCTCAGTCCTTTCAAATCCTTGGGTTCTGGCCATTGAACCAGAGCCTCTATCTTGGTAGGATCAGTTGCAACTCCACTACCTGATATGATGTGACCCAAGTAAATTAACTCTGACTTCCCAAAAGAACATTGTTTTAAGTTAATAACCAACTGGTTTTCCTTTAAAGCACATAAAACCTTCCTCAAATGTTCCTGATGTTCTTCCTTAGACTTGCGGTAAGATAAGAATGTCATAAAAAAACCAAATCACATTTCCTTAGAAAAAGCCTCAGAACTTGATTCACGAGAACCTGAAAAGTGGAAGGGGCATTTGTCAAGCCAAAAGGCATAACCAAATATTCATAATGCCCTTCATGAGTCCTGAAGGCTGTTTTCTGTCTGCATTCTTCCTTCATTCTGATCTGGTGATAGCCAGATTTCAGATCCAACTTAGAGAAAATCATAGCTTCACCTAGTTCATCCAGTAGCTCCTCAATGATTGGTATAGGAAATTTGTCAGGTATAGTAATCTTGTTCAGAGCCCTATAATCCCCACAAAATCTCCACCCTCCATCTTTCTTCTTTGCTAGTAATATTGGGCTACTGTAAGGGCTATTGCTATGCTGAATTATACCATCACTTAACATCTCTTTTATAATCCTTTCAATCTCAGTTTTCTGATATTGTGAGTACCTGTAGGGTCTGATACTCCTCCTGAGACAATTCTGGTCCCACCCTTCTGATTTTAGATGGGTTTATTACTGGTCTTAAGGAGGAGATTAAGACTGAACTGAAACTGTACAATTCAAGGTCCTTGTCTGAAGTAATACCCTATCAACATTCCTTTGAGGTGCAATGACCATTTCAAAATTCAAATTCATCTCTTTACTCCTTCACAGTTCCAACTTATTTAAGACTCAGCATAGGTCCATAAGGATTCTGGATCAAATCAGGTTGAAATCTACGAATTAGGGGTGGGTAAAATGGTTTGGTTTAACCGAACCAAACCGAAAATTGGTGGTTTGGTTTGGTTTGGGTTTACTCAAGTAAACCGTTTGGTAAGAATTTGCTCAAACCAAATGGTTTGGTTTGGTTTGGTTTAAAACCGAAAAACCGTAAACCGAACCGAACACCGAACACTTATATATATCTTCACTCTTCATTTTTAAGATATATGGAGTATATATTTATATATATATATATATATATATATATATATATAGAAAAGATCCTGTCCAGACGTCCGGACAGGAGCCGCCGTCCGGCCGGCGGCGTTTGGCCGCCTTCCCGGTGGAATTTTTTGATGAAATTTTTATGGCATGTTCTCCATCAAGTCTAGTTTATCCACAAAAAAATTCAGCCAAAAACTCAATCGGGAAGGTCGTCAAATGATTTTTGCAAGTTAACTGGTCCGGAATATGTATTTTCCGGACCAGTTAACTTGCAAAAATCATTTGACGACCTTCCCGATTGAGTTTTTGGCTGAATTTTTTTGTGGATAAACTAGACTTGATGGAGAACATGCCATAAAAATTTCATCAAAAAATTCCACCGGGAAGGCGGCCAAACGCCGCCGGCCGGACGGCGGCTCCTGTCCGGACGTCTGGACAGGAGCATTCCTCTATATATATATATATATATAATTTGGATCAAATAAAAAAAAGTCTTAACGTGTAACTGATGCACAATAACCCCTAACTGATGCACTTTCGAATAGACCTTATTTGATGCACTTTTCGAAAAGTGCATCAAATAAGGTCTATTCGAAAGTGCATCAGATAGAGATTATTGTGCATCAGATCGACAGTTTGGACGGTCGAGATTAATTCTCATTTTACACGTTAAGATGTCTTCTCATTCGAACTCATCCCTATATATATATATATATATATATATATATATATATATTAGACAAGAAAACTTGGTTACAAGAACTTTTTCATATATATGTAAATAAATAATTTAGACAAAAAAAATATATATTTAACATATATCATTTTAACTTTTACACATTTCATACATTCATTATGACAAAGTTAGCTAATAATATAATACGACATATTTGTATTTGTTAAGTTTGGTGATAACAATAACAGATTGCATTTATATTTTTTTGCATGATTCATTTGAATAAAATTGTAAATATTATAACATTTGTACCACCGGCGCTTTTAGTTTCTTAAGTATTTTATGTGATACTCCGTATTATAAATGTTAATCAACTATTATCTATTTTTTTGAGAAGTGAATCTTTTTCTAGTGATCGAAAAGATGTTAGAAGTTTTAATTTATACTACCTCCGTCCCTTTTATATTGGGACGGAAGAGGGTGGCACGAGTTTTAAGAAAAGTGGGTTTGTGTGGTTGATATTAATTGATAAAGTAAGAATAAAGTAAGAATGATTTTGAGCCACACAAACTTTACCTAATATGGTATGGGCCAATTTAAGTGGGACTTCCCGAAATGGTAAAACGGGACAATATAAATGGGACGGAGGGAGTAATATTTTACTGTTTATTTTTCTATTGTTTATTTCCTTTTACATTTTATTTAAATAATCAATAAAAAAGATGAGATGGATTGCTACTTTCATTTTCTAAAATATAAGAACTTGATCAAATTATATTATAATAAACGGAATTACCTCTGGAGGCTGTCAGACTGTTCGATGATCGCGTATGATGTTGATGTGGTGTTCGCGATCTTCCTATGGTTTGAAGCTGTTCATTCATCGCGGCCATGGTTGATTTCATGTCCAAATAGTTTCGCTCCAGTGAATCTACTTGATTCTCCATTTTAGCTCTCGTTCTAACCATTCACAGCTGATACGAGAAATTCCTGGCACTGCGACAATAATTCCGGTCACCGGAAACGACTGCTCTGATACCAATGATAGAACACTGGTAGAAATCAAACAGTACAGTAGAGAATCTATTGGAATCACACTAAGAACAGATCACAATGTTTATTGAAGGAGGAAATCAAAAGAGGTATACAATGCTAGGGACAATTCGAGATGCCCAATCTCCAAGTCTACAACCAACCGAAATAACACCCTGCCCTTTCTGGCTAATTATTTACTTATTTATAATAATTATCCACGCAGGGATAAACTAACTAACTAGTTAGCTAACTGCTAACAGACTTCTTACTCGTATTGTAGACTTTATTAAAATATTGAATAGGCTGCTGCCCCATACGCCTATCAAATTTCTACAGGTTAAGCACTGGGGCTTTATCAAGGCTAATATTATCAGATGATTCCCTTAGGATGGCTGTCAATGAGTTCAGAGCATCTAAGGTACGGATGCAGCATTATTGCTATTCCATTTCTAGAATTAAAATTTTCATTTTATATGTTTTTCTTTATCCATCCTAAGAAACCTTTCTTCCCTTTTTAAGAGGACAGTTTGCTTTTGTATCAGTCTCTTAGATGACACCTTCTCATCTCATATAATTAAGTTTCTTAAAATTCGACATTTTTCCTGCTTGAATATTTCAAAATAAGAATAACATTTTTGGATCCAAATTATATGGAGGAAAGATAAATTTTGATATTGTAGTCTTGTAGAGCAGTATGAATGAAGTTTTCTAGCAGATAGCCAATGTTCGAAATTGCGTATTGCGTAAACGAGGCAGTTTTGTGGTATTGTGTAAGCCTAATGGCACGTTGGGGCTCAACGATGAGGCGTAGAGCCTCCTTCATTTGTAGGGTATTGTGTATATAGAAACTTAGAAATAATAAGACGTAAATATTAATCCAAAGTAACAAATTTGATACACAAACAACAATAATGTCATAACGAAGTAATGGAAATCATGATAGGGACCCAGACACTCCTCCTAATAAGAATAATATCAAGTCCATTAATATTGTATAATAAAAGGGTCTTAAGCCACAGGGGCGGAGCCAGAAAATTGTGTGAGGGGGGTCGAAATTTAATTATATACAGCATCAAAATGATGGATAGTTATTATACAATACTTGAGTTAAATGTTTCATATGTAGTTGAGATAAATGGTAGTTTAATGATTATTTTTTGGTTAATGTATTGATATATATGTAATGTATCATAATGTTCACACAATTAATGACTTAATAAGGTGTTTTATTTTTAAATTTAAGAATTTAATCAACGCCACACATCAAATTTTGCTTATTTCAAGTTAAGATGGTGCTGATTTTTTTAGAAGTCATAACTTTTTACTCGTAATGAGTTACGGGACCCATAATATATCAAATCGAAGGTATATCAGAGCTCTGCATTCTTGAACTTTCAGCGGGGTCGTCTGACCCCCCTGACCCCCTGGCTCCGCCCCTGCTAGGCCCAATAACTTAGGGCCGAGGGCCGACCCTTTAGGTTAGTATTATAATAACTTAGTTCCTGTTTCTTCTCTTTCTTATACGTTAGGCTACAAATTCTGCCATTGTATTTGCTTCAGGATTTCAGAGGCTCTCTCTCTTTCCTACTTAATATACATAAACTGTCGGGTCTCTATTAAATCTTGAATTTAGACATGACACCAGAGAAATTATTTATGGTAACATTCATAATTTATTAGATTCATGCGATAAAAAGTGAGTCATCTATCTATTGGTTTGAAAAAAGGAACAAAACTACTAGCATTTCCCTCATCATCATCATCAAGGTCAAGTTCAAGAGCTTCGTTCTCAAGTGCAAGAACATCTTATTTAGCAAACTGTATAAAAAGCATACTATTAATATTTTCAATATAAACTTTTTCAATATATAATTAAATTTAGAAAAAATGAAAATTAATTGCATTCATCATCATCATCATTACCCCAGTGCCGCTAAGGCTCCCACCTACGGTGGGGTAAGGGGGGGTCGGATGTACGCAGTCTTACCCCTGCACTAAAGCACAGAGAGACTATTTCCGGATGACCCATAGTGAGAATTGCATCGAAAATTGCATGGACTGATCGTTGCTTCATAACAAAGAAGCGCAGATAGTTTAGTGAACCATTTTGCTTTATTCCATCATATTCCCAAGCCAAAAAATAGTGAGTCTTTGGCTCCATAGCAAATGATGGAAACTGAAAATTAATTGGATTATTTAAATAAAATAATTTCCAAATAAAATTTCCAATCTAAAAATAAAATTTCCACTATTTAACTAAGTTTATAAAATTTCTAATTTTTAAAAATTAATTAAGTTTAAATCTGGTTTGGTCTATTTAGGTCTGGCTTGGGACTGAAACCATCTAAGTATGTATATACCAAAGCTATTCTTCATTATAATTGTTATACATGGTGTTCAATATTTTTTCAAGGCTTAAATTTGGTTTCAGTCCTTGTAAATATATTGTTTTTGGTCCTTGCGATTATGGTATAGTGTTAGTAATAATATCTCTTCTCTTCAACCCTAACATGATTTCACTCTTGTCTTACAAGTCACTTTATTTTGATAACTATATACTATTTTGTTTGCAGGGAGCCGTAGAGACATGTATTGAGAACGTTAATGATCAATTTTGTTTAGCTTTCACCCTACTCGTAATCTTAAAAAATTTTAAAAAATTGACATTGGAAAGTTTTGAATGGAGTTATGCGAGCCACCATATTTTTTTGCTGAAAGTAATTGAAGAACCAAAGAAGAGATCATTAATTACAGGGATAAAAAAATCTACAGGGGTCTCAATAAAAACATGCTATATTTGCAAGGGACTAAAAGTATATTGAAGCCTATTTTTTAACCTTCATTTTACTCTCTTCCTCTTCCCTCATATCTCCTCCCCTCCTCTCCCCCTCTTTTAAACCAAACAAGGGGTAGTCAGCTGCCTATAGAACTGAACATGGAAGTAATCGAAGTATGGAACCTCAATACGTATAATTGCTTCATTTCTAGGTGATGAATTGGGTATGCAGTTTTTGCTAATAAACACAAAATTGTGGACAATCATCTGTGTTCTCTAGCCTGGTATTATGTTTCTAGACAGTGCTTCAACTATAGCTTAGATATTGGCTCTGTTTGGCACATCCAGCCGCCAAACTATATATAGCTAAAAACAATTTGAATATTGAAATTTTGCATATTGAAACTAAAAGTTAACACATAACTTAAAGTGAAGACGATATTTTTTTGGAAAATGATGGGGTTATTACTTGATAAATGATATGCAGAAACTGCTTTCTAAATGTTATGCGCAATTGCAAGATAGCAAATTCAAAGTGAGAGATCATGTGAACTCGTATTTATTTCCCACAGTATTTAATTCCCACACTTTTTTGTGCGGAATTCTACAGAGTAAATACCTAAATAAGTTCTGAAATGAGTTTGCCACACCTAAACAATTTTTGAATGGATAGAGAATTCTTGGGGTTTCATAGTAATAGTACATGTGCCCATATGCTGAGTTTGTGTCTCTATGTTTATACATGTAATGATGTTTTTACTTGGACTTATTTGATGTTATTTCAAACCAAATCAAACTTTAACAAACTAGATCAGACTTCAACAATTATAAATTATAGAGACCGGACATCTTCCACACCAATTTAGACTAGATCAGATTTAAACAGACCAGACTAAAAAATTTCAGTCCAAGTAAAAACATTCTAAGTAGCAGCTAAAAAGATTTATATACACTGGCTAATGTGTCTTTGTACAGGGTATGAAACCACTCAAGTAGGACGGATGGCTATCGAATATGTGATCTCTCTTGGGTAATATTAAATATTTACTTAGATATTGTGTACTTTCTAAATTGGCATTGTTTAGAGTGCTCGAGTATTGAAATCCTACTCCCCCGGGCTTACAGTTCATATAAACTCTTTTAGGGGTGAGAATTAGAGAATGACATGACTGAACTATGGAACTATATGTACTTAATTGTAAATTACTACCATCAAGTAGTACATAAATTTAGAGTATTTCAAAGTACATAACTACATAAGTTTACTTAAAATGTAGTGATGTAACTTTGGTGTACCATGGGTACAATTCCGTGTGAAGCTCAGATAATAGATCTTCATATTGAGTATGCACTTCGGTCATCCATATTGTTTATTATGTCACCTCCTAAGTCATGCCCGCGAGTGTCCCTTGCAATCTCATTCAATACTGCTGCTATTCCATCATTTGGCTAGCATCCTGCATTTGACTTTAAAAATGATGGTAACTGGTGGGTCACCATGGAAAACCCAATGTGCATGTCACATTAAACCCATTTCAAATGTGTGTTCTCTAATATCTTTCAATGGAAACATTTTCCCATCCATACAGCATTTATAGGGAAGACCTATCTTTCCTTCATTCATAGTCTTTTGCATAGTTTATAAAATCGTGTTGACCCTTTCAATATTCTTTAGGGAAAATGGAAACTAATAATCCAACCTTTTAGCGGTCTTCTTTTAATAATCCCACCTTTTGATTATTCATGAATAATCCAACCTTTGTACCACATCTTCATTGACTAATCTTTGACCGGTTGATGACCTGCTATTCCAAGTTATTTTCTTATCTTTGCAAATCATTATACCATAAATTTCATCTTTCACAAAGATAATATTTTGCAAAGATAAGAAAATAGCTTGGAATAGCAGGTCATCAACCGATCAGGGACCAGTGAATGAAGATGAGGTGCAAAGGTTGGATTATTCATGAATAACCAAAAGGTTGGATTATTATAAGAAAACCGCTAAAAGGTTGGATTATTAGTTTCCATTTTCCCTATTATAATCGATTCTTTATTATTTATCCAACTTCTATCTATTGGCATCCTCACCACAACGAGAAAGCTTGAATGATCTTTCAATCAATCCATCATATAAATATTAATGAACGAGTTTAATTTGAAAACTAAATATTAATGAACGAGTTTAATTTGAAAAAGGAATAGGAAACATTTATAATGACCATTTAATGATTTATTGTTTTATTTGTGTTTCTATAATGACAAGGGATCAAAGTGTAATAGAAAGTTTTAAATTATGAATATGATATGCTACGTATAGACGGTATAGTATACAAACTTGTATTAGATAAAAATGAGGTTTAATGCATCAAATCCTCTAGTGAAATATATATTTGACGCATTACTCCCCTGTGATTTAAAAAATGCGTCAATCCTCTTGTGTTATAGTTATTCATGCACAAAATCCCTTTTATGAACAAATATAATTGCCAAATATATGAAAAATGATCACTATTTTGTACTACTTAAAATTTAGAAATCTTAACAAAATTAGTTGCATATTTAATCATATTATTAGGAAAAGCCATTTCAAAATTATAAAATTTGTTCTTGCAGGGGTGAATGAATAACATTTATATATCATAAGAGAGTTTGATGCATTAAACTTGATAAGAGAGTTTGATGCATTAAACTCGATAAGAGAGTTTGATGTATTAAACTCGATAAAGAAAGTAATGAGAAGATTCTATATATTCATAATTTCATATTGTGCTAATACTTTCACTATTCTTTGGTGGGTATGTGATATGCCGAGCATGGCTGGAAAGTGAAAGGGGAAGGGGTGCGATATCCAACCATACAAAAATTTCATGCGATTGTGTATGTGAATCTATGTAGCATCGATACGGTTACGCGGAAACAAGTGTGTTGATACGACAAAATTGAAGAAAGTAGGATACGGATACGGGGTATATTCATAAACATTAAAAGTTATAAATATTAAAAAATATGGGGATATTTCTAAATATAAAAAATCACAAGATTTTGTGAAAATATATGCATATATTATTCTCTGACCATTGCCCATTCATGACATTCAAGCATTTCACATTATCAAAATAGATAGAAATAAATTCATATTTTATCACATATACACTTTGCATCTCAAAATATAAACATAGTCAACAGTCATTAATTCAAAATGAGAAACAAGTCAAACTATCACAATTTTGAATTTAAAAGAACAAGTATTCAAAGTTATTGGATAAAGGAGATAGAAAACAATACTCTAATATAAAAACTAAAATTTCTATTACAAATTTTGCACGGAAGCATCTTGGATAATGTAAAGTTTATTTTTATTTTTTTATTTTTTAAGAAAATTTAATTATGTAAATTTTGGGTGTTTTTATTAAAAAAAAGTTGATACGTCATACTATACGTGTATCCATTAGGATACAAGTATCCAAAATTTTAAAATAATTACCAAAAAAAAGTATTGAATATACGGCTTGGGAACGTACGGTACGAGTATCCAAGAGTATCTGATACAAGAACATTTCCAATACGTTGATATGGTACCGTAGTGATGTATCTGTGTTTCATAGTTGTACACTAATTTTAGGCCTTGTCTAGGGTGGTTCCAGACTGGTAGATCCCGGTCATTGTTAGGTGAAGCCTGGGTCTGACCCGGTTAAATCTAGGTTTGTGCCGATTTTGGTATTTGGGCAGTCAAGTCTCAGTTCGGACCATATCCCGTTCTGTTTATTTTTTTTCATTTCCCCTCGTTTCCAAGACCAAAAGGTTAGCATGTCCGGGACCAGAACCGCCTGGTTTGGTCCCCAAATGGGTGAAATTGGATTGAGTAACATGTTTGGGCAGACTTTGGGCGGTTGCCCGAACTAGACTTTTTGGACACAGTCCAGTCTCAAACAGTGCTGGACCCGATTCTAAATCGGGTCGGACCATCGGACTGGGCTCACCCCTAACCTTATCCATAAGTTTCCGGAAAGTAAGATCAATTTTGGCGGTTCGGCCCGTAAAGTTGAACATGAGTACACTATAATAATGTTTTTTTTTACCTTGAATGATGTTTTGTAAAATTGTACCATTACATTATGCTAGATTCTAAAACCTAAGCACATATGCGCATGCACTCAATATTACCATAAACATTGCCACGGTGTTGGGAGGTTTGGGTATTAGAATCTTATATTGCGGTTAAAGTTTAAAATATTAATGTACTTTTATAACGGAGAATTTTACTTTGCATCCCATGTTTTGGGTCAGGCATGGAGCCGGGCTAGGTCGGGCCCGGGTCGGGCCTAGACCCGGTCGGGCCTTTTGGGATTGGGGGAAGCCCTGGGACGGGCCCGGGTTGCCAGCGAGTCTGGGCCGGGCCTCGGACCAGTTTATTTTTTTTTCTTTTTCTAATTAACCCCCGACCCCCCTCCAAACCAGCCCAAATGGCTCAAAATACCCAGCCCAACCCGGAAAGTTAAAAAAATTAAAAAAAAAACAATAAAGCCCGATCCGGGCCCGGAACCGGCCGGGCCGGTTCCATATTACCCAGACCCGTACCCGCCCTAGTTACCTCCCTAAACCGGGCCTACACCCGGAACCGGTACCCGGTTCCCGGGCAGGGCCAGGCCCGCACAGTACCGGGCCAGGCCGATTCCCGGGCCGGGTGGCCCGAAGCGGGTGATATTTGACTTTGCACCTAAAAATTTGGTGTGAATAAACTAGAATTTATGAGAAATATGCTAAAAAATGTTCACCAAAAAAATTCATTTGGAACCCCCCAAAACGGAGGCGATCGGACAGAGGATCTTGTCCGAACGGCTAGACATGATCTTGTCTGATTATATGTGTGTGTAAGAATTTTTTCTCTCTCGAGGGATCGAGGTCCCCCCTCTAGCCCCTCCTATAGTCAACCAAAATATTATGGTGTACTTTAAAAAAACCATAGAATAACAAATTATTGATATATGAAATTCACCGATTATGTCATTGGAGAGAGCAAAGTGAATGACGCATATTCGTGTGGACGATTGACGTCTTTTCTCTCCCTTTTCCCTTTTTCTTTTATTTTCTTTATCTTTCTATATTCTTACGTTATGCACTTTTATCTTTTATTTTTCTAATGTTCTTATGTTATTTATCTTATATTTATCTTATATATATTTATCTTTATCTTGTCCATTTTATCTTACTTTATCTATTTATTCTTTTTTTATTTTTCTTCTTTTTTGGCTCTGATATAATGGATCGATTCATGTTAGTCGAACACAATCTCTTTTGGGAATAAGGCCGGATTGTTGTTGTTGTTATTGTTGTTGTTGTTGATCGAATTCACCCCCTTCATGATTGGAAGTTGTTATGAGATTTTTCCCAAAATATCACAAGCAAAAAATTTATAGACGAACATATGACTTAGTGTTGGACACTTGGACCCGGTTCGGGCCACCTGGCCCGGGAACCGGCCCGGCCCGGTGTACCGGTTTTGAATCCGGTCCTAGACTCGGTCCCGTGGGTTAATTAGGGTGGGGCGGTCCCGGTTCAGCCCCTTCTTTGGAACCGGCCCAGACGGGCCCAGTCCCGGCTCGGGCCTTAATTTTTTTTGGGTTTTTCATTGTTTTGGGCTTGTTCCTGAGTTGGTCTGGGTGTTTTGGGGGGGTTTGGGGGGTGGGGGTAGGGGGGTTGGGGGTTAATAAGAAAAGCAAAAAAACAAAAACTTTAGAACCGGCCCGACCCGGACCCGGTGGTAACCCGAGCCGGTCTCGAGCCTTCTACCGAAAATTAAAAGCCTGTCCGGGCATAGGCCCAACCCGGACCCGACCCGGCCCGGTCCGAGTCCATGAATATATTATGACTTAGTAATTTTTAGTGACTATAATTGTATTCAAGGTTTTTATCGTAGTGACTGCAGGTGTACTTTTGTAATAACTAAGATGTAAACTTTAAACACAACTATAGTCACTAAATGTTATTAAGTCACATTTTGTCTAATACTATTATTTTGGTCATATATTAGGGAGTATTTCTTTTTCTTTTTATATCTTACGATCAAACGAATTTTCCATCATTAATTTTAAATGTGTAAACTGGGGTAAAACCTAGTTTTTTCTACACGTGGGATAGAAACAAGTAAAACGACTAAAATCATCAATAAAACCAATAAAACAAACATATTACTTGAATCACAAATGCGAAAAAAAGACTAGCACACATCATAATAAATTAAAGGCTAAAGGCTCAAATTGGCCATGTACCTGTCCGCAATGCTCAAGTCGTCCCCTAAACTAAAAAAAGCTACGATTGACACCCTGAACTGGATAAAAAGTTTCAATTTTGATAATTTGCATGTAACCATCCAGTCAACTCCAAGTCATCAGGTCATGTGCCAACAATGCATCTGATGTTGCAACTCAAGGGGTCAAATAAGTCCCTGAACCTAACTGAATTGTTCAAATCACCTCCTCAACTGTTAAAATGTGTCAAATTACGAAAAAAATATATAAATAATATGCAGTTCGAAAATATTAAATATAAAAATGAAATATTTGTATTTTATTTAATTCAAAATAAAAATAAAATATAAACTAAAATAATTTCTTTACCTTTATATCCAAATATTTTATTTATATTTTATATTAAAAAATGTGAAAGTTATGTGTACACACATACATACACACATTTATGCATTACCTTAATTTATACAATATAATGTACACATAATTACTACGTAGTATATTTAATATGTAAAAAACTACTATAATATATATATATATATATTAAATAATAAAAGTATGTAATTAATATTGTTATATTTTACTTCTTATATACTACTATATAAACTTTTAATGGTCTAAATAATTAGTACAAAGTATAGTATTTAATCTTCTATATGTCTTTATTACTTATATACTCCGTAATATATTTGAATAATTACATCTATTTAGTAAATAAATTAAAAATACAAAATGAAAAAATAAAAATGGAAAATATAAACATAATATCATCAAACCAAAAACCGAAAAAACAAATCTTAGATATATGACATAAAATATAATTTTAAATATAGTTGGTGGAAATATATTGTTTATTCTCTCATATAAAATTAGATATAAAATATATAATAGAGTTAAAGAATTTCTTTAAGTGTATATTTTATTTTCTGTTGTGAATTTACTTTCAAAATATAAACAGTTCACATTTATATTTTATATTTTAAACTTTTGTTTTATTTTATATTTGTATTTTTTATTTTTGATTTTTTATACTTCCTCCGTATTTCAAAGATCGCTACGTTTGCTTATGGAACAAGATTTAGGAGAGAAGGTAAAAAAGTAGGAAAGAAAAGTTAAAAAGTAGAAAATGTAAGGTTAATTGAGTATTTTTAAAGGAAAAACTTACCAAAAAAGGAAAGTGTAGGGAACTTTTAAATACATCCCAAAAAGGAAAGTGTAGGAAACATTTAAATACGGAGGGAGTATTTTATTTTTAAATTTTAATTTTTAATTTTTTATTTTTATTATTTTTTATTTTTAAATTTTTAATTTTAAAGTTATTTATTTATTTATTTATTTATTTATTTATTTATTTATTTATTTATTTATTTATTTATTTATTTATTTATTTATTTATTTATTTATTTATTTATTTATTTATTTATTTATTTATTTATTTATTTATTTATTTATTTATTTATTTATTTATTTATTTATTTATTTATTTATTTATTTATTTATTTATTTATTTATTTATTTATTTATTTATTTATTTATTTATTTATTTATTTATTTATATATTTATTTATTTATTTATTTATTTATTTATTTATTTATATATTTATTTATTTATTTATTTATTTATTTATTTATTTATTTATTTTATTTTTTCACAATTTTGACACTATTTAATGGTTGATAAGGTGAATTGAATTATTTGGTTGGGTTCTGGGGCTTATTTGACCCCTTGAGTTGCCACCTCAAATGCACAGTTGACACATGACCTGATGACGTGGCGCTGACCGGATAGTTACTTGCAAATTGTCAAAATTGAAACTTCTTATCCAATTTAGGATGCCAATTGGAGATTTTTTTAGTTTAGGGGACGAATTGAGCATTACAGACAGGTACAAGAATTTATTTGACCCTTTAGCCTAAATTAAAATAAAATTTGAGTAGAATGATGTGAAATACATTATATTACAAAAGTGATCATTATGATTTTCTCAAATGACAAGAAATATAGTTATAAGTACTAGTAGTAGTAGCAGCAATACTAATAACATAAGTTCTTTGTAAAGTAGCTTAAACACGTGTTCACAATGTTCCTAACGATGGTGCCATTCTGGTCCAATGGCCCCTTGGGTCTTCAAACCAACATGAGAAAGCGGAGAAAATGAATATGATAAATGCCACAGTTACTAGAAGCTATAGAAGCACCTCCCCATGATTTTATCCTTGAGAAAAATAGATTTTTATATAAAAAGACACAAAATGATAGTTACCAGCACACATTTTTTAAAACAGAAAGTGAACTACATTTGATTTGAGAAATGTGATAAACATATCTTAAACATTAAACATTAAACATTTAACACCAACATTAACGATACGTGAATTGGTACTATTAGCTACTATGACATTTAGGGGGCTAGAGTAGACAAATTTATTTGATAGAATACTTTCATGAGTAGAAACACCAGATGAGGATCCCAAACGGTAATGGAGGATTCACTAGTTTGAACAGTCAGAGCAGGAGCCCAAAATGAGATGGACACGTTAGAGAAGAATGACATATTCGACATATAATTTAACATTTTTACTTATTTATATTGTCAAACGCTTTTTATGTGTTCTCATTTGATCTATTTTACATCACAAACATTGAGAAGGAAGAACTACTTAATTTTCTTAATTAAAAATGTGTTTAAGGTGTTTACTATTATGGATCTATGGTTATGGTAAAAGAGTAGTTCTGAAAGCATATATGACTAAATGATAAGGCATTAGAGTTTATGATATACACAGAAATACTCTGGTCCAGCCAGAGGGACAGGAGCAGCCGTCTGAACTCCACCGTTTGGGGTGGTTCCCGGTAGATTTTTTTGATGAAATATTTTGGTCATGTTCCTCATCAAGTCTAGTTTATACACAAAAAATTTCAGCTCAAAATTCGATCGGGAAGACGGTCAAATATTTTTTTGAATTTAACTGCGCAAATTTATACATAGAAAACACAGTTAACTTCAAAAAATTATTTGACTACCTTACGGATCGAATTTTGAGCTGAATTTTTGTGTGGATAAACTAGACTTGATGAGGAACATGACCAAAAATATTCATCAAAAATTCCACTGAAAACCGCCTCAAACGGCGGAGTTCGGACGGCGATTCGGACAGGAGGGGTTGGACCTGATCTTTTCTAATGATATACATACATATAAATATATTCTACATATGTAATGAATATACTAGTAGTACCTCTTAATACTAGTAGTACCTCAGAGGCTCAAAACAATAAAGGCTAAATAAATACGAAAATAGCTATAGTAAAAATAAAGCACACTTTATTGATGTTTGTGTTTACAATATAAATGTAGCTCTTTTTCGAACATTACTAAATCAAATGAGATATTACTCGATATAGGACTAAAAAAGTTTGAAAATTCCAAAATAGGACTTCCTATATTTTTATTTCCAAAATAGAACTAATTATTGTCATGTTTTGGCAGTACCAGACTTCAAACATGGCAGTATTTTCCAAACTTGGCAGTAATTAGTCCTGTTTTGGGAATAAAAACATGACAGTCCTATTTTGGAATTTTCAACCTTTTTAGTCATATTTTGGGAACTTTCCCAAATCAAATTCAAAAGATAAAAATTTGATTTATTTTAAATTTTCCAAAAAAATGTTTTTCGGTGAAAAGTTACCGGTAACTCATCGTCTATCACTTGCTTGTCACTCTAAAAAAATGTAATTTTGATAGAATTTGCATATTAGAACAATTTTGTAATAAAAATGCAAGTATCATTAGTTTATGACCGTAGATAGAACTATAGAAGTACTCCCTCCGTCCCATTTTACCTGTCCTACTTTCCTTTTTGGGTTGTCCCAAAATAAGTGTCTCCTTTCCTTTTTTGGAAAGAAATATGTGGTTTACACCATTTCACTTTATTAAACTCAAATCTCAACCACAACTTTTACTTTTTCAACCACTTCATTAATAACCGTGCCGAGTCAAAATAAGACACATAAAATGGGACGGAGGGAGTACTCATTAGTCATTACTGAGGGGCAGCGGAAGTGGCGGGTAAGATTGGGTGGTTATCTTCGGCCACGGGCCCATATAGACGGCGGAGAAATCGGCTTCGGTATGGGAATGGGTGAAGTGGTGGAGACGAAGACGCGGTCAAAACTGTTTCCTTTTTCGTCAGATCGATCACTCTTTCGGTTCGGGGGTGAAGAATGGATAAGCAAGCATTGCATTGTATTGTTTTGGTGGTTACCAGCCAAAACAAACTGTCTCGACATTGCTTCTTCCTATAAACTCTCCCCACTTTCACTTTTACATTTTCTTTTCCTTTGCTTTGCTTTTACATTCATGCATAAATAATTGTTCAGTTCTAATCACATACTTAGTGCATGCGTCTTTTCAACAAGCTGAGAGAAATGTCCGGAATGTGGAGATGGAACAAGCTGAGACACACGGCGGTAATGGTGGCCTCTAGACGGCGGTGGCCGGCTGCTGCGGCGTCCGGATCATTGTCCACCTGGGATGACGACTGGCGGAAGCGGACGAGGGGGTTGCTGAGCAGGCTTCACGCCGGGGGCAGGAGGAGGGAATCGCTTCTCGGAGTTCAGGCGAGATTCAAAGGCGGGTCTTCCGATGAGCAGCTGGCTAGGCGGATTAAGGTGGAGGTCAATTGCCCTCGCTGTTCCAAGCACATGGATCTCATCTTCACCAACCACAACCCCCACCTCATTCCTGCCTCTATTTCCGACCCCAATTTTGCTTCTGATAGTTTTAATGGAGAAAGCACTGGCCGTCTAACTGCCTCTGTGACCTCTGTCTCTGTAGATAATGACTCCATTAACGGTAACAATAACACTAGTCATAAGGGTGCTAATCCAACGCCAGGTGGTGGCCCTTATCACGCTGTGAATATCTGCCCCAATTGTAAGACTGGATACTACTTCCGGCCCTACAAGATGACACCTCTTCAAGGAAGCTTTTTTGAGATTGGGAGGGTTAAAACCAATTCCACCATAAAAAATCCCGATAAGAGAATGGCCAAAGAGGAGGAGTACGCCAAGCGCCTCAAGACGGCCTTTTGGGAGACATTGCAGATATACGGCAGTGAACCACCTGAGAATTGGGCCCCGCCTACTTCACAACCTTCTAAAAATGGTGTAGCCTTACATACCCCCACTGCTCCACCGTTTCTCCCTGGTGTCAGTATATTCCGGGAACCTGGTCCTGATTGCAATGAGGAGATAAGTTCTTGGGGTGGATCTAATTTGGGGAAGAATTTACCCACGCCGAAAGAGATCTGCAAGGGACTTGACGAGTTTGTCATTGGCCAAGAGCGTGCCAAGAAGGTCAATTTCTTTTAATGTTCATTGATCAACCAAACACTATGGCTTCCATCCATCTGACCATATAAAAGGATACATAGTACTTGTTAGTAACACTGATGACATAACCTGTCTTCTCTAGTATCTGTCCAGAGAGGAAAAAATTGTGTTTTTCAAGACAACAGATAAATTGACAAACGTATTCTTATTTTAGTATTCTCTGATTGATTGGATCACTAAATGGGCACTTATTTAAGAACATATTTCATTTAGTTAATGAACCAATATTTGAGAATGGAGGAAGTAATTATTGACATGATGCCGTTGGATGGATCTGGCAGAGCATAGGATTAGGTATGGTCAATTTGGAAAAAAGAAGGTAGTAGGCCCTGAAGGGGAAGCCTAGTGAGCTATGTAGCACAGAAACTCTCGGGAAAGATTACGTTTCACGTTTCGGAAACTCCCGGAAATTCTTTGGAAACTTTCCAATTAAGCGTTTTTGAGCAAAAGTTGATGTTTCCCGTTTCCTCATGATTTTCGTGTTTCCGTGCAACATAGCTGGTGAGTAGTGACTACGTGGGCTTAGATTGTGTTTTTTTTACTATATTTTTATGCTATATATTTAATAGCATAATAGCTAACGCTTATGCTATTCCTTTTCACTCTCAAGTGTCGACATGATTCTTTGCCATTCATCTAGCAGGTTCTTGCTGTCTCTGTTCATAATCACTACAAAAGGGTATATCATGCCTCCCAGAAAAAGGGGTGTGTATATAATTCTGTTAACATCTATACATTAATAACTTTGAGATTTCATGAATTTCAACCGACACAATCTTAATTACATATCTTTATCAATACCGCTACCAAAATTATTTACAACCTTGGTTGGAATGATGGAATCTTGTGCAATAAAGTGACTCTGTACATTGATGCTAGATCAGAGGCAAAACCAGCTAAAGAAGATAGTGATGACAATGTAGAACTCGATAAAAGCAATGTGCTTTTGATGGGGCCAACTGGCTCAGGTATGAGGACTTCACTGTAATTCACTCATTCTAGTATGTCTAGTCGTTTTTTCCCAATTAATAGCATTCTAGATAAAGGTAAATCTTTTAAACATATTGCCTTTCTGACAGGAAAGACATTACTTGCCAAAACTCTAGCTCGTATCGTTAATGTGCCATTTGTCATTGCCGATGCAACTTCTTTAACACAGGCATGTACAAGCAATTTTGTTGTAACTTCTTCTTAGGTTCCCGTCTCTCCTCTCTTCTAATAATGAAAAATAGAGGCTTTGCTTGGCCTAACTGTGGAAAAGCTTATTTTTTCATACAAATATTTTCAGCAGAAGTGCTTTGGTAAAAATGTTGTTGGCCAAAAACAGTAGAGTACTTGGGTGCTTGGCTTATCTAATAGAAAGTGTAGAAATGCTTCTAGTGAAAGTGCTTTGGTTAAAACTTTAAAATAGGAAACAATCCTGAAATAGGAGTAAAAAGTAAAAACTATGCAAAATTCGAAAATAGGAGTATTATGGCCCCCCCCCCAGAACAAGAGTGAATTACTGTCATCTTGAAATCATACTTCCATATTTTGGCATTACTAATTGTTCACATAGCAGTATTACAGCCATAATTGGCAGTATTTTCCGACTATGGCAGTAATGGCTCATATTTAGGGAAAAAATATATCCGCAGTACTTCTATTTTCTAATTTCACATTTCTTTTACTCCAATTTAGGGCAATTTCTGTTAAAAAATATAGTTGAACAAAAACGGTTGAATGGTTGGCAAATCCATTTCAAAGTGCTTTAAGGAAAATTGTGGTTTCTGAAAATAGGTATGTTCACAGAATGCATGTTTTTTAAAAATGGACTTTTTAGTTTTTAGAAGCCTCCAATTAGGAGCTTTTAGATTTTAGCTCATTCCTGAAAAGCGCTTTTCAGTAAGAGCACTTAGCAAAACGGGCAGAACATATCACCTTCGGTTTCTAGATCCTCTCTAAAAGCACTTTTGGGCCAACAAAAGCTTGGCCAAGCGGAGCCATAGTCTCCCATTTATATACCATATTAGTTTGATGTTGCCAATTACTGGAGTGAAAGAAGAATGCATTATTTGCTCTTCAGTTCCATAGTGGAGATTGCTATGGGCTGCGGCGGAGGTGGGGGACATGCTAGACCCCAGCCCACCCCAAATTTTAAAAAAACTTTTAGTCTTAGTGTAAAAGATTGTGTAAAAAAAATTCAAAAAAATCTTTGCACCGGCACAGTCCAATTTATACCCCTCAGCCCATAGCTACGCCACTGGCTATGAGTGAGCTTCAAATTTGGTCTTAGGTAATTTATTGTGAGCTATCCTCTGTCCAGGTAAGAAGTAGAAACTAAAACTCTTTCTTTCTTGCATCTCTTTTTCTTACTGTCCACTAAAAGATAATTTGTTTTGCAGGCTGGCTATGTTGGGGAGGATGTTGAATCGATACTGTATAAACTGCTTGTGGTATAGTTATCTACTCCTTGAGTTGTTTCAGAAAATTAAGCCTAGTTGTAGACTAAATTGGGTGTGTAGTCTTGGTTCCAATATTCGATTGGCTTTTGTTATTATCATAGAGAATGGACCTTTGTTGATTTTGTCTATCAAACAATTACTTACACGTTTTTCTATTTTTTCATTTCAAAGTCATAGGTTTTATACTGATCATTTGGTTCTCTTTGAGTGGTAGCTTGTGTGAACATAAATCCCGACTGTTCATTTTTATTCTTATGAGTGCATTTATCATTGAAGCATCTCTGAGCTTTTAAAATTTGGTGTGAAGGTTTCTAATTTCAATGTACAAGCAGCACAGCAAGGGATAGTATACATTGATGAAGTAGATAAGATAACCAAGAAGGTAGTTTTTTTATATTTATAATCTTCAACCTTCAAGACTTCTTCACAATTTATGCAAGAGGTTTTGTTGCTCCTCAGCTGCTGTGATAGCAGATCTGATACATCTTCTGTCCTCCATTTAAAGGCTGAGAGCTCTAATGTTAGCAGAGATGTCTCTGGTGAAGGAGTTCAACAGGCACTACTTAAAATGCTTGAAGGAACTGTAAGTCATATCCTACTCTGAATTTGTTTCTTTAGTTTACAACTTGTGTAGCTAATCTTGTGCTAGACAGACCACACATCTATACAAATGAACGGAAAAATGACAAGTTGGAGTAGTCCAAGTGGGTCACATCTCACACTTAACACCCTCACTATGTGGGAGGTCTTGGGGTTCGGGATGTTTTTACTAGGATTGTAATTTGTTGGTCTGGTATGATCTGGTCTGGTTTCTTTGTATTTTATTACTATCCAAGTCTTGTCTGGTCTTGTTTCTTTGTATTTTTATAACTATCCAAGTCTGGTCTGGTCAGGGACGAATTACAGTCCAAGTAAAAACATCCTCAATCATCAAGTAGGTAAATTTGGGAGGATTTTTCTCAAATAGTTATCCTTAGCCCCCAGGGTTAGCTTGAGTAGTCGCACAATCAGTGTTTCTTCTCGATTCAAGTGGCTGTGTAGGAGTTAACTCCTTGCTGGGTATTATTCGATGGTGTTTGACCACTGAGTGGCAGTTCTTCTGGAAGCTGTGACGGGAACCTGAGGATGCATGAAGACAAGTACTTACGAATGTTTTTTTTGTACACAGTGATGCATATTTGGCCGTTGGGATTTGGGAATCTAGCGAATTGTTCAAGCGAGTCGGATTTACTTCTCTCAAGGGTCTGGGGTGGGTTCTTGGGAGCCCAGTATTAGTCCGATATAATAGGATCACATGGTGTTAAAAAAACGGAAAAAATTAAATACCAAATGTTAAACTATGGGTCATCTTTTGGTATGATACTCATCCCTTCTTATCAGGGACACCTGTGCACATTTACCCAACATTTATGTTTTTTCCATATAACTTAAAAGAACAATACAATATGAAATTTGAAAAACAGCAATGATATAATCTGAAGGAGAGAAAAAAACTAAATATAGTTTTAATCCAATTAATTAATATTTTCCATCCATGTGAGCTTTCATTACCATGCACTTCGTTTATTTTGTATAGTCATTTACATGTATAGCCTCAGAGGGCATAGTTGAGATGAATAGAATGTTGAGGCAGCTTCATAACTAGTCTGTATATTAATAATTACTAGATAATATCAAAATCTTTTGTTTCCTCCCATTCGTTAGAAGTTTATGCTGAAGCATGTGATGCATAGAGTTGAGGCCTGTGACAATGCTAAAATATTACTTAAAATGCCAAGGGCTGAATCTGCTTATAATTGAATATTTTTGTATATCAGATTGTGAATGTTCCCGAAAAAGGTGCAAGGAAGCATCCTCGTGGCGATCATGTTCAGGTAGCATAGACCCATATTGTACTACGCATTAACTACCTTGCAAAATGCTTAGGAAAGGAAAGAATTTGCTAATAAAACTTATTTCTTGTATTCGGCTTTTACTTGAAAAATATAAAAGGAAAATGAAATATGATTAGTTTCTTTTTCAATTTCATGCATAGTTAGATTACTCATTCTCTGTCCTTACTTCTAATTCGATGGAGTATCGATCCAAACAGTAATAACAGTAGGTATATTCAATCAATGGATTCTGAGAAATCCTCGGATATCCTTAGGAAATTTACAAAGCAACGGAAGAAACATTTTAGAAGAAGTATAGAGGCAACTTCGAGAGTGCCTATCTCTCCCAGAGTCCCAGTTCTTCTTCCCAAATTCTGCCTGCGTTATTCTACGCCCCAACTCATATTTATTCTTTTCATGGTGGGGCAGCCCACTGCTATTCAGTTACAGGCCTAAACCCCTTTTATTGTACAGTTCTACACTATTAAAATACTTGATAATATTTTTATTTGGAGGAGTGTCCGGGTCCCTATCATAAATTTTCTCCTTCTGATGGTATTTTTGACACGCACTTGCCCATATACAGATTGATACAAAAGACATTCTTTTCATCTGTGGCGGGGCATTTGTTGACCTGGAGAAGACCATTTCTGAGAGGTGATTTTAATTCTACTTTCTGCATCCCTGCAGTAAAATTCCATATCTCTTGAACTCTGAGAACTTCATTGCGGACATGTTTATCTGTCAGGCGGCAGGATTCTTCCATTGGTTTTGGTGCGCCAGTACGTGCCAACATGAGGACTCACGGAGTAACTAATGCTGTTGTGACATCATCTTTACTTGAATCTGTAAGAATGATGATACATGATGTGTAAGAATGATGACATAATGTGTTTGGCATAAGTTGAAGGCTCTGTTAAATTGCAGGAAAAGAGCTTGTGCAAAATAAATGTGGAAATTATTTTCTTGGGAAATGTTTCCCTAGGAATTGTTTCCCTCAAAAATAAATTCTTCTGTGGATATAATGCGTAAACCACAAAATTAGAAAATGTAAAACTCTTTCACAAAATTGAATTCTTGTTCTGCGGAATGCAATTTCCTTCGTGTGTTTTTGAGTTTTCGGGACAAGGAAAAAACTACTCCACATATAATAATCTATTTGTCGATATATTATATTATAATCACAAATTATTATTGTACATGTAAATTTCATTCGGTAGTGGTTGGAAAATAGTTAGTTTCGTTTGGATGCAACAAGAAATAGCTTTTACAGTGTAAAGTAGATGCCAAAAACAGATGAAAGAAAAGATCAGTTGTTGAAAAATAATCATAAGCTGCGAAGTTCCAACTTTTAAAACTGCTGAAACTTTGTTGATTTTTTCCAGTAATAATATATCATCCCAAGGATGCTGTCTTTTTAAAAAGCTGCTGAGGTTTATCAAGCATGCTCTCCATGTCAATATTTTTGAGTGCCAAAAACTGGGAAATCTTCCAGTGTTAAAAAGAGGAGAATTTAAAATAAGGTTTTCTTAAAATTTATCCCTAGAAAGAAAGGAGCCAAACATATGAATTGCTCCATCTAATTAATGTACTGCTAACTTGAAACGTGATGTACACTATCTTCAGGTTGAGAGTAGTGATCTGATTGCATATGGCCTTATCCCAGAGTTTATTGGGCGCCTCCCTATTTTAGTAACTTTGTCAGCACTTACAGAGAACCAACTTGTTCAGGTAGTTTGGATCCCTCATATCTAGCTATTTATATATTCCTGTCCAAGTAGGATAGACAACCAATGTACTTCACTAGTACATGTCAAATGTAACTTGTTCTGTCATGGTAGTTGAGTAATTAGTATAACCACATACGATGGTAAATTTTTGCGAGGCGTATAATCATGTTCCCAAGACTTTCTGTTACACTTTTGAAGCTTTGTCAATGTCATTGGAATTCTTAAGCTACAGATTCTGATGATATGATTGAACTCTTCCATTCAGGTCTTAACAGAACCGAAAAATGCTCTAAGTAGACAGTACAAGAAACTATTTAGCATGAACAAAGTAAGCAGTTTCTTATCACCTCAACCTTTTCTTGTTTCCAATTTCCAATGGGGAATGAGTAAACGCAAGTCTGTTTGTTTGTTTGTTTGTTCGCCCCACCCCCGGCAAATGAAATAATAGCGATAACTACAACAACAACAACATCCAAGCCTTAGTCCCAAACGATATTGGGGTCGGCTAACATGAATCGATATATGATATCACATTATCACCAAAAGGAAAAGAAAGAAAATAAAGATAGAAAAGATAAGCTATTATAAAAAAAAAGATAATATAAAAGAGATGAATATACATATAAAAGATCAAATAAAAAGGATAAAGTAATATTTATATATAAGGATAAAGATAAAAGAAAAGGAAAAAAAGAAGAAGAAGAAGAAGAAGAAGAAGAAGAAGAAGAAGAAAAAAAGATGATACAAGATCACTCCTCAACACGAATACCCGCCCTCCATTTTGCTCTCTCCAAAGCCATACCCTCATCCAATCCAAGAAGAAGCATATCACTTCTGACTCCCCTAACCCACGTCTGTTTGGGCCTTCCTCTCCCTCTCTTCCCTACCTCTTCTCCACACATCTCAACTCGTCTGACAGGTGCATCACTCGGTCTTCTATGCACATGACCAAACCACCGTAGGCGTGACTCCCGCATCTTATCTTCAATAGGTGCTACTCCCACCCTTTGTCTAATTGTCTCATTCCTCACGTGGTCCTTTCTAGTATGTCCACACATCCAACGCAGCATGCGCATCTCTGCCACACTCATCTTTTGAATGTGACATTGTTTCACCGCCCAACACTCCGTGCCATACAGTAATGCCGGCCTAATTGCTGTCCTATAAAATTTACCCTTCAGTCTAGTCGGCATACCTCGATCGCATAGAAATCCTGACGCACTCTTCCACTTCATCCACCCTGTTCTGATTCTATGGGATACATCTCCATCTAACTCACCGTCTTTCTGAATTATGGAGCCCAAATAACGGAACATATCGCTGACTGGTATCTCCTTACCATCTAAAGTAATTCCGCTATTACCACTACTTCTACCTCCACCAAACTTGCACTCCATGTACTCTGTCTTGCTCCTACTTAGTCTGAAACCCTTGTTCTCCAACGTCTGTCGCCATACTTCCAACTTTGCTTTAACCCCTGATTGCGTCTCATCAATCAATACAATATCGTCGGCAAACATCATGCACCATGGTATATCGTCTTGAATTGACTTTGTAAGTTCATCCATGACTATGGCAAATAAAAAAGGGCTAAGAGCCGATCCTTGGTGCACTCCGATAGTAATAGGGAACTCCGCAGTCCTCCCTACACTAGTACGGACACTTGTAGTACAATCCTCATACATATCCATGATGATGCTGATATACTTGCATGAGATGCCTTTTCTAGTTAAGGCCCACCAAAGAACTTCTCGAGGTACCCTATCATATGCCTTTTCTAGGTCAATGAACACTAAATGCAAATCCTTGTGAGCGTCTCTATACTTCTCCATAAGTTGCCGAAGAAGGTGAATAGCCTCAGTTGTTGAGCGACCAGGCATAAAACCAAATTGATTCTCTGAGATCTTCACCGTTCTTCGAAGTCTTTGCTCAATCAATCGCTCCCAAAGTTTCATGGTATGACTCATAAGTTTAATCCCCCGATAGTTGGCACATTCTTGTACATCACCTTTATTCTTAAATAAGGGAATAAGAGTACTCTTTCTCCAACTCGTTGGCATCTTGTTGTTTCTCCAAATTTTGTTGAAGAAATTTGTTAACCACCCAATGCCTCTCTCTCCCAAACTTCTCCAAGCCTCGATCGGTATGCCATCTGGACCCACTGCTTTCTTCCGCCCCATCTTCCTCAAAGCCTCTTTAACTTCCGTTGGTTGGATCCTTCTCACAAAATCACGATTTACCATACAATCTGGTATGGTCAAATCATCGATATCTTGCACTTTGTTCCCGTTGAACAATGTATCAAAGTATGATCTCCACCTCTCTTTTATCTCTCCGTCCTCCATTAATATCCTTTGATCAACATCCTTCACACACTTAACTTTTCCGATATCTTGAGTCCTGCGATCACGAAGACGAGCAAGTCTATAGATCTCTTGTTCTCCTTCCTTAGAGTCCAATTTTTCATACAACTCCTTGTTCACTTTCCCTTGTGCTTCTTTTACGGCTTTCTTTGCTTGTCTTCTAGCCTCCTTGTAAGCTTCTATGTTCTCATCACTCCGACTTATCCCCAACTTTTTGTAACAATCTCTTTTGTTCCTTATGGCTTGTTTCACCTCATCATTCCACCAAGACGTGTCCTTTTTGGGTGGCAAACATCCTTTAGATTCCCCAAGTACCTCCTTTGCCACTTTGTTAATGGTCTGCTCCATCGATAACCACGCATCCTCCACCTGTGTTCCATTATCAATACGCCATACATCTTCACCGAACATTTTGTGTGTAAAACTTTGTTGAAGATCCCCCTCAAACCTCCACCACTTTATCTTTGGCTCCACTTGTTGCTTAACTTGTCTTCTATGGTTCTTACCTCGAAAGTCGAGCACAAGCATCCTATGCTGAGTGACAACACTCTCACCTGGGATAACCTTACAATCGGTGTAGCTAGTTCTCCAAGTAGTACGTACTAAGAAGTAGTCAATTTGGGTACTATTAGCTCCACTTCTATAGGTTACAAGGTGAGAGTCTCTTTTCCTAAACCAAGTGTTCATTATAGCCAACTCATACGTCGAGGCAAAATCCAAAATGTTCTTTCCCGCTTCATTTCTAGTGCCAAAACCATGTCCTCCATGAATACTCTCAAAGCCATCACGAACCGAGCCCACATGCCCGTTGAGGTCGCCTCCTATGACCAACTTCTCTCCTCTTGGCACTCGTCGCACCACATCTTCAAGATCTTCCCAGAACTGTTGAGTTGTAGATGCATCCAATCCCACTTGTGGTGCATAGGCACTTACCACAGACACAATCTCACCCCTCATCACCAATTTAATGCTCATGATGCGATCGTTCTTCCTGAAGACTTCTACCACATCCTCAACATAATCACGTGCCACAATGATGCCTACCCCATTCCTGGTCTTATCTCTCCCCGAATACCACAACTTAAAACCTCCGGGATTAATCTCCCGTGCTTTCTCTCCAACCCATTTAGTTTCTTGCACACACATAATGCCGATATTCCTCCTCCTCATAACTTCGACTACCTCGGAAGATCTGCCTGTAAGAGACCCAACATTCCACGTCCCAAAGCGCAATCTAGCACTCCACCTTCTGTTCTTAGCCCCGCCTCGGACCCCACCACGCCCTTGCATATTTGACATCATCCTCGGGCAATGGGATGACGCGCCGCTTCCGGGCGACGACCTAGCAACCTTAACATTCTTATCACCACACCCAGGCCTATGAAGTGTCGCTTACGGGCGACGACCTAGCTATAACGATATTCATATTTCGATTCATGTCATGTGATGTGACTAGGTAATACTGTTGGCCGTCACGCGCCTACCACAGCACCCTCCTCCTTTATCCTGGCTTGGGACAGGCATGAAACAAAAAAAAAATTGATCTCATGGCGGAGTTAAATAATAGCGATAACTATAGTAGCAAAAATAACTAATAATAAAAACGCTCCCTTCCATCTTACCCACGAAAAAGTTGAGCTTCAGAAGCTTTTATCTCAAGAAAAGAGTTATGTAAGATCAAATGGCGATAACTTTTAAGTAAATTGTGAAAGAGATTAGCAAACATTTTAAAACAGGGTATGAATGTATGATGATAAAATTAATAAAATATCAAAAAAGCTTTTAATGATGATGATGATGATGATGATAAAAAAAGCTTTTAATCTTTCTTATGTTCTTTTGTTATTTTTATCTTTTATCTTTCTTATGTTATTTTATGTTATCTTTATCTTTATCTTATCCTTTTTGTCTTACCTTATCTTTTTATTTTGTTTTTTCTTTTCTTTTTGGCTCTGATATATTGGATTGACTCCAAAATCTTTTGGGAATTCAGGCTTGAATGTTGTTGTTGTTGTTGTTGTTGTTGTTGTATAAAAACGATTTTAAACCTCAAAACTCTTTTGGGACTATGGCTTGGAAGATGTTGTATCAGAAAAGCTTTTAAAATGCAAGTGCGAATGATGATTTATAGTTGTTCCTTGCAAAATAAAAAGATACTTTTTGGCCAAACTGTTGGGTGTGTATTTCAGCTCAGGTCTCCAACCAAAACAACTCACACACACCACCCAGGATTGTTTAGCCACTCCACTCACCTAGTTCTAGCCTTTTCTCTCTTACCTCTCAAGCTTTCACTCACCAAGAGGAAACTCTCTCAAAGAAGAAGACTCAAGCCAAACACTCACTTGGGGTATTTCTATGCATAAATCTGTTCCCTCCACACCCCAACCGGATGGGGTTGCTGAGAGGATGGTTAGAACTTTATTAGAGAGGGTGAGGGCTATGTTAGCTTCATCTGGGCTCTCTAATAAGTTCTGGGGGGAAACTATTTGTTGTGCTGTTGATTTGGTTAATCTGTCCCCATCTGTTCCCTTAGGAGGGAAATGCCCTGAATCTGTGTTCACGGGCAAACCACTTAACTTGCCAAATTTGAGAGTGTTTGGTTGTGCTGCTTACGTGAATTGTGTGAATGATAAATCTGAACCTAGGACTAAGGAATATGTTTTCTTAGGATATCATGATTGCATGAAAGGTTATAGGCTTTGGTGTAGGAGTGAAACTTGCTTCAATGTGTTGATGAGTAGAAATGTCATTTTTGTTGAAAATGAATTTCCTTGCCTTCTTGTTTCTCCTGATGTTGCTCCAAATGAGGTGGAGCATTTGCCTATTGAAGTTCATTATGATTTACTTGTTGAAACCAAACCCAAATTTGTGGATGAAAATGTTTTTCATGGTGAAAATAAAGAAAATAATATTTCTATTAAGGTGGAGCATGATATGAATGTTGTGTGCAATATGCTTGAGTTGCGTGATTGCCATGTTATTAGAGATAGAGACATTAGGAAGCATGTGAGAAATTATATGTGCAATGTGTTTGACTATATTTCCTCTGAGTTTGCTTTAAATGTGCTTAATTCTCTTTTAATTAAAATCTTTGTGATATTTGGTATGCTATTTTCTTTGTGTTTTGAAAACGTGATACCAAGTGATTATGTGAGCTCTACCTGTGCTAGTTATAGAAATAATATTGTTTCTTTTATTTTCTTTGTGCTTGTTATGTGTGGTTGTTGGATTAGTTGGAATCCCCAACTTGTCCCGGATGCTTGCTTGCGTGGTCTATTAACATGTGTTGTGCTTGTTAATAGTTTTGTGATGGTTTTGGTTCTGAACTCGAGGACCGATTGGTAGAGTTCAGTCCATCGTGAAGTGGGTTTGCACGGTAAGCTTGGTCCGAAAGGGAACTTTGGTTCTCATCTATTACTTGTATGATCGCAATGATGTACTTGTAATGGTTCAGCGATGATGAGTCTCCTCACAACCGTGTATTTGTTACTCTACACCACCTAGGACCAATAAGGTGGAGAATGTTGGAGGTATTGGTCGTACCAAGGCCTCCCTTCCACTTATTATGTTAAGGCCTGCACCCTATGTTTAGCCATCTCTCTTATATCTCTTGTGACCATACTCCTTGGCCAGTTGTATTATCGTTGCCTCCTACTAATTCAGTTTTTGGGTCTGTGGCCTTACCTATCCATTGCAGCTTGTCTGTTGGTGTTTTGTCTTGTATTCCCTACCTTGATAATTGAGGACATTTCCTCTATTATATTAACAAGCTAGCAACTTCTTTCAGAAGAGTGTGGCGCTGACAATACAGTGAGGTGTGAGTGAGTGTTTGGCTTGAGTCTTCTTCTTTGAGAGAGTTTCCTCTTGGTGAGTGAAAGCTTGAGAGGTAAGAGAGAAAAGGCTAGAACTAGGTGAGTGGAGTGGCTAAACAATCTTGGGTGGTGTGTGTGAGTTGTTTTGGTTGGAGACCTGAGCTGAAATACACACCCAACACAAACAAAACTCTTTTTGGAATGGAGTAATGAAAAACAGAGCAAGCCAAAGATATGAATACTCACAAAATTGACTCAAGATGTATTGTCGAGTTGAGTAATTTTTCTTCGACTTTTATGGTCTGTCTTCGATAGGGTAATTTTGTACTGTTTGTATTATACTACATTTAGGTGAGGCTGCATTTTACAGAAGAGGCATTGAGGTTAATTTCAAAGAAAGCATTTAACAAAAACACTGGTGCAAGAGGGTTAAGAGCCTTACTAGAGAGCATATTAACTGATGCTATGTATGAGGTAATATACACTAATACCTGCTTCAACAATGTTTGCTATACTGATGAAAGAGCTATATATTGGTGTACTGCTTTCGCATTTTATATTGCCTTTTGATGTAGATTCCTGAAGTTAAAGCAGATGATGAGAAAGTAGATGCTGTTGTGGTTGATGAAATGTCTGTTGGTTCCGAAAGTGCCCCTGGATGTGGTGGTAAATTACTCCTAGGAGTTGGTGCTTTCGAGCGTTACCTTTCTCAGAGACGGTCTAAAGATCAAAATGTAGGTTTTAACTAACCTACTAAACAACTAAATAATCCCTCATCCGTTCTCAATATTGTCCATGAAGGAAAAACATTGTGGTAATTATTTTTGTGAATCTCTGACAAGTTGACTAGCATTACCCCGATTGAAGAATTCTAGGTCATCACAAGTAACACATATTATTGAATTAAATATGAGAGGAAAACCTATTTAAAATTGTTAAGTCCTTGCGTTGAACACGATTTGCAGGGGAATGCCATTCGGACAGCAGGATGGTGGTAATTCAGAAGTTTCATCAAGAGCAATGAGCATACAACATCAGAAACATCTCACCTTTATCATTATACCGTAGAATTATTTTTTTGTATAAAATTTTTCATTTCATTTCACACCTAATGTAAATTTTTCATATTGATCCAATTGTAACACGAAACGATATCTAGTCATTCACTAGAAAAAGTAACCAAGTATAGCGAATGAAGGCTCATTTATAGGACTTATATTTAAATTCTAGTTTTGATTTAACTTGTGTAAACCATTCTTTGGTAATGAGTAAAAGTATTTGTCATCGGAAATAAATTAGCAGCAATCCTGTACAGAAAGTTTTTCTTCATTCGGTACAAAAAAGGAGCGTGCAGGATATACGTACAACTAATGAACTATATAACCAAAATATGCCTACTAGACGAAGAATTAAGAAGCGCGGACGGGCCTAGGGTTAGGTAGGGGTGGACCGGGCCCGGGTTGGGCCTGGGTTGGGCCCGGGTCCGGGTCTTGGGCGGGTCGAATATGTTGGGCAGTAGGCCCGGTACCGGTCCGAGTTTGTTCCGGGCCCGGGTTGGGTCATGTTTAATTTTTTTTTTTGGTTTTCCATTTTAGTTCCTACATGTTGTGACTTGTGATGGATATTAAGGATGAGCATCACCCAGTGGCATGTAGCATCTCATTTCATTATTTTCTTTAAATTGTTATAACTTTCTTATTTAATACTCCGTATCTAATTTTATATATAAAAACGAAGTATTAGATTTTATAATTCTTTAAGATCTTTCTCATGGTATCAAGATTGTATATAAAAAATCAACAAGAGAAGCCGTTTTCTAAACATGCATATTTAGCTAGATTTTTTTTTAAAAAAAAATCATATATAATATTGATACATGGCTGTGCTTTTTTAGAGGCTGTTCAGGCAAAGGCCTCAGGGCCTCAAAAATGTTTAAAAATTAGGGGCCCAAAATTTAAAACAGTTAATTATTATCATATATCTATTATAATCTAAAAGCAAAATGTTTTTGGGGAGCCATTCCCACTCAAAAACATCAACATCAAGTTAGTCATTTATTTCCTAAAAAAATAAATCTAAAAGGAATTGATCAAAAGTTTTAAGTTCGGACGTTATTCACAACTTTTAAGTCCCGTGGCAATAGTGTTCCCAAAAAGTTTTAACCTATTTCTATTGGTTGTTGTGGAGGTCAACACTATGCTGAAAATTGGAAATCTTCTATACGCTAGAAAGCCTTTAAGAAAGCTATTTGTATTGGTTGAATTGGAGGTGAGCACAGTGATGTAGAATTTCTATTGGTGGATGTGGAGGTGACAAAGTAAACAGTGGGTGTTTCTCCATAATCACACCAACCAATTAATGCTCTTTGAACCTTTCCTATGAATAAGAAAAGAAAAGCAATCAACATTTAGATATGGAGTGTACAGTATACGAAGTACATTATTATTCCGTAATATAATTTCAAAAAAATCTTCAAGCCCCCCCCCCCCAATATTTCTTTCAAGAATGCACTCAACATTATAACATTATGGTTATAAATACTCTTAGGTGTGGAGAATTGTTCTCCGCTCTCACAAATCATTAACGATCTAAACTTTGTATGTAAGTTATTATCTCACTACCGAGTATTTATGTTTACACATACATAGATGCTCAACTAATCTTTAATGTTAACACTTTTGTTTTCTCATCTCCTACTTTTAGCTTTATGTGTATATGTATATTTTTTGTTTTGGCTTGTTAGAGAATTGAAAAAGAAGTACAAGAAAAAGATGAGTTGAATAAGGTTCATTGGACAAAAGTTCAAACAGAAAATCATTTGAAGGATCCAATGTATCCACAAACTCAAAAGTTCAAATAGAAAATCATTTGAAGATCAATTGAAGAAGGTTCATTGGAAAAAAGTTCTAACAGAAAATTATTGGAAGGATCCAATAAATCCACAAACTCAAAGGATACTAAATCAGCAATTTGCCACACAAAAAAAATAGATGCAACTATCAACAATATTTTAAATGTCGGTGTTCCAATATTGGAGAAGATGTATAAAGTTAGATATTTTGAAGTTTTAATGCAAGAAGATCTGCAGATCACAACTTAGATTTCCAGACAAGCAATCACAAATAGGGTATACAACACTCGGTATCCAAGTAATGAACTTTTTAATACAACAATGTAGCAAAAATCAGAAAAATGTAATAGTAAAATAAAGTTCTGATTTACAACTTTTCTCATAATAAAGTACATAAAAATGTATGCTCTTATATGAATACATTTGTTAAATTTAAGTTATAAAAAGTACTTAAAATGCTATATTTGTTTAGAAATAGGTTGAGAGTAATCAGCCTGAATAATTAAAAAAAAATACTTTTATTAAAAAGGTTAAAGATTCAACAAACTCTTAAGACGATAAACAAACACTTTGAATAGTTGAATCTGCTCCTAATGATGGTATATGTAAAAGATCTGGCAACATTTTGCATTACCTACTTGGATCGGACTTTGAATTTGCATGAGATGAAACATCATCAAATCATTATTAACTTTATTTATATAACACAAACACAAATCATTAAATTTATGTTAACAATTTAGGGGCCCAAAATTTAAAATAATTTTCTATTATACATATGTTTTAAATGACAAAAGACCTGCCTTTGTTTAAATTCTATTAGCTGCTGCACTTGAAAACCCGAAATAACCAACAATGTATTGACAAATTGGAATGAAACGGCCGAACAAAAGATTTGACTTTTGAAATTGTAAAGCTAGAAAGTTTATGGGTCGTGAATTTGTTTTGCACAATGAAAGTCTTATCTTTGTCTTAATCAAAGATAATTGGGAGATAAATTATAAGTTATTCCAAGATTGATTTCAGATGCCATGAATTGATTTCTATGTTTAGGAAATTAAGTTGAGCTTAATTTGGGATTTTTAAACGATTTGAAGTTCAGAATTAAACAATGCCAGTTTTTTATATTTAAAAATTACGAAGTAAATATTAAGTAGGTTATGTTTTCTAATTTGCTGACATGTCAATATGTTTTTGTTAGCATATTTGTTTTAACTAATATATTAGTATATGTCGCACAAAAACTAAAATTATCCATATTCATAATATACGTAGTATATGATTTCAATGTTTTTATTTATCTTTAGTTTTTTCAACATTTGTGAACTTATTAATAGATATCATTTTGTGAAGTTCCACTCGAGCTCGAATTTAGAGAGGAACACACTGTATTGAATTCAAATACTCCGTCTTGCTGGAATTTCGTTTGGAGATTGAGAGATCGCGAAGCCAGAGAGGATGAACGGCGGACAAGACGAAGCGAAGGGATTTCTGTGGAAGCTACCTGTGGTTAAGTCGAAGGAGTTAGGAAAGCTCGGTCCCGGTTTCGGACTCGGCATCGGGTGTGGTTTCGGATTCGGCGTCGGCCTCATTGGAGGTTTGAAATTTCTTCACTCCGGCCATCTTGAATACAGATTTATTTATATTATCGGTAACTTTAAGCGACAGTATTTCCTTTACTTGTGTGGTTGGCTGTTAAAGGAATGGGGCTCGGTCCTGGGATTTCTGGGTTGCGGATCGGGTTTGGACTGGGTGCCGGGTGTGGTGTTGGATTAGGGTTCGGGTACGCTATCGGGCGGGGCATTGGGTATGATGACGAGCGCAAACACTCCAATGTTGGCTGGTCTTTCCATCGCAATGGCAAATTTCCCAGTCAGTAAGTTTCCCTGCTGGAAATTTTAGCTCACTTCCTTTCATGCATTATGCTGTTCGATTAGTTCTAATTAATAATTGGCATATCACTCACGTCTCAACATTTCTCAAATCTTGCCATGCCAATTAGTTTGTAGTGGGTTACATGCAATCCTATCTATGGTTAGTGTGTATATTCTTCGTCTTATACATTGAGTTTCATGTATCAAACATGTCTGTTTCTTATGTTGACAAGTGGCATGCATTTTGAAGCACAATGCTTACTTAGTAGCTACTGTATACTCTACAAGTTTTAGCTTTTGATGTCTAGCTATATATTTGGCCTATGTTGCACAGAAATGCAGGACACATGGGGGAAATGTGAATCGGGAAACACCATCTTTTAATATATAAAAAACAGTATTTGTGGAGTTTCTAAAGAGTTTCCATAGAGTTTCTAAAATGGAAATGTGCTCGTTCGCAAGATTTTCCATGCTTCATAGTTTTTGGCATTCGCCCCTTGCTCTTGAACTTCCCTACTCATTCCCTTTCTCCTTTAGTCTGTTAAGTAAATGTCTTTTTCACAAATAAGTGGTCATTTAGAAACGCAATAAAGTAAAACTTAGTTAAGTGACTAACTTGCTCTCTCATATTTACTGTATTTGATTGTCATTTGCTATTTTTAATTCCTCGAACTCAATAGAAGTTTGTTTGTCAATCTAAGAAATATTCTATCACATTACACTCTTCTTATGGGATGAATGGAAAATATTTTCTGATGCTTGGTTTAAGTAGTTGGCATACTTACTGGATGTCAGGTACGAGATTAATTCCCTAATTGATGAGCTTGCTAAGAGCACCAAGAAGCTGGTCAGGGAAACATCTCGGGAGGTGGACAAATGGAGGAGACACAATTAGCTTGAAAAACTTGTAATTACAAGTGTTGATCAAGTAAATGAAAGGTTAAAAGAGCCGGTAAATGTAAAATATCCAAGGACTGATGTGCCTTGAGAAAAATGAAATTCTAGTTGGTTTCACTTTGTACATACTTTATGTGAATTTACTTGAAATAGAAATGACATTCAACGAGAATGGGAAAAAATGGGTCGCTTAGTGCCAAAGGTTGCAAAATCTGCTTCCAATCTAACAAGGGTTTGGCAGTTGAGGACTTTGAGTTGATGTGAAGTAAAACTATTGTTGGATGAAAAAGCCATATTTGAGCTTCCCCACAAAGTGTGCGGCAACCCAAATTCTATACACAGGTGTTGTAGTGGGTTCATGCACTCCAAGGGGTGATGGCCAACGCCCTTATTCACCTGGCTAAGTGAAGCAAATAATTCGAACAACAACGGTGTAGGAATGGGACCCCTCTGTCATCAACGCACTTGATGAGTTCCAGAGCTCACAGCTTTGCGTGGTAGCCTATTGGAGCGTGCTGGTTAGCGCGTGCTGGGCATGTGACTTGTGTTCGCCGGTAAAAAAACCTTTTTCGATAAATCCGGCAGCCAGGATTAATTAGGGCCCAAAAATATTCTAGGTAAATCCAAGGGTTGGAGTTTAGATATAACGGTTAAAATAATTAATTTCATTTCATAGCTATTTTTTTAAATGTGTCCGATATTTCTATACACTTCTATGGTCATTTCCCCTCTTCTTTGTACATCATTCCTTACCAATTTTAAACACTAATTGATAACATGACTTCACAAAGAAGATATGCTAATTGGAGTTACAATGAAGATGTTGTATTATGCAGTTTTTGGGTCGCTTTTTCCGAAAATGATGTGGTCATAATAAAAAGCGGGGGATTCACTTTGGTCTTGTGTTCATATGTTGTTTAGCCAAAACTTTGATATCATAGTTCAAAATTATAAACACAAATGTTTTTTTGTGGAAGAGAAGATTGGGAAAGACAAATGCAACCCCTAGAAGCGGGTAGCACATGTCTGATAAGAGTTAGCCTCCTCCCCACTTGTGATAGAGTTTTTTTCCTCCAAGCTGAAAGCTTTATATCAAATTTATGAAGAAGCTCTTTACAATGAGAAAGACGTGTGATATCTTCATGGATGGGAACCCCTATGTATTAAAAAGGCAGATTGGACTTTTTAATACCCAGCTAGAGACTTTTCCATTGCTTTGACTCTGACAACTAGAATAGTTTTGGGGTAACAAAACTGGTCTTCATATTCACTTTTTGACCGGAGGCAGCTTCATAGAACTCTGAAATCTTTCTAAAGGAAATCAACCATGGTATTGATATATTTATGAAAACTAGAAGATCATCGGCGTATGCCAAGTGCGTTAGAGGGTAGGCTCCTCACGAGATATTATAGTAACCAATATTGTTAGATGCACGCAAAAAAAGAACTACAACTTCTACCGTGGATCATAACAGAAAGATACGTGAATTCTAAGTTACCAAGTATGAGCTGAGTAACTCCTGGAGAGAAACCGAACTTCAACAAAACCTCCTTGAGGAAAGGCCAAGACATCTGGTCAAATGCTTTATTAGCCATAATATTAGAATCCCTACTTTTTTATTAATTGCATGGATCATCTCTTCACTAATCAAAACTTGGTTATTAGTATCCTTCCCTTTAACAAATCTGGCTTATTCCGAAGATATAAGCTTTGGAAGAAGTGATGCGCACTAAGGCCATCTCCAACAGTTAACACCATTTTTTACACTAAAATGGTCTGGTGTAAACATCACATCAAACAGTATTTTATCTCCAACAGTTTACACCATTTTCATCACCAAAACGGAATATTCTCTTTTTTTCTTTTTACTAACTTTTTACCATTATTCTATTTAAGTATCTAACTATCTTATATTTATACATTAGCCCCTCATTTATTTATAATGACATTTCACACATTATTTCACACATACAAACTAAAATACATCATTTTAATATGTATTTTCACGCATTTCACTAATTAAAACACAATAATCAATATTTCACAAATACAAGCTAAAACACAATAATCAATATTTCACAAATATTTCACAATATTTTATCTTGGATTTGAAACTTTATTTATAATATTGTGTGATTTAAATGTTATTATATTTTTTTATTATCAAATTAATAATTTTAATTTGTTGTTGTATAAGGATGTTTTTACTTGGACTGTAATTTGTTTCTGATCAGATCAGACCGGATTAGACCAAACTTGGGTAGTTATGAAAATAGAAAGAAATCAGACCAAGCCACATCAATTCAGACCAGACCTGACCAACAAATTTCAGTCCAAGTAAAACATCCTAATTTGTTGTTTTAAAAATGGGTCAAAACTATAATAATCAAAACTTTGAGTCACATTTGAAAGAAAAAAAATTACAAAAAGAGAATGGTGCTACAAATGGCGTACGCCATATATGGCGTAAAGCCATCCCCCCTCCCCCATTTTGATGTAATGGTGTAAAGTTTGGTGTCATTGTTGGAGCATTTTTTTTTCCAAATCCACCATTTTGGTGTTGAAGATGTGCTTGTTGGAGATGGCCTAAGTCGCTAACGAGTTAACCAATATCTGAGTGTTAACTTTACTTATGAAAGTTGATGTGCAAATTGGGCTATATTGGCCAAAATCAGTTGCATCAACAACCTTAGGGATGAGAACAATTTGTGCAGTAGCGACAACCTTAATTAGGAATAGGGATCCCAAGAAAAAATTGCACTAGCTACATCTTTAGCAACTATTTCCCAACAATGTCGGAAAAAATCTCTAGAATATCCATCCCGTCCAAAGGTACTCTTGTTAGGAAGCGTAAGATGCATCTTAATTAATGATTATCCACAATTCCAGGAATAGAAGGCAACAAAAAATCCGGATCCTGCATTTCTTCTTCCTCCTTGAAAAGATGTGTAAAGAAGCGAATAGCCTCATCACCAATCCCTTGCTGAGAGTAAAGCCAACTGCCAGATTCACCACCTTTCACATGCAACATGTATGAACTGTCCGGGCCTTTTCTCTTTAACAGTAGCTAGCATGAAAGAAGTTCGTACGAGCATGCATTCCCCTCCTTGATCCATTTGACATTACCCTTCTGTGGCCACCAGATATTTTGCTCCGACTGATCTTCTTCCAGGAGTTGCTTAGCTCTCAAACCCGGCCTCTCGTTCAGCTAAAGCAACGTTTTCAAAGATATCCCCGGCCAAACGCGACCTTATTCCACTCCCGTAAATCATGCTTAAGTTTTTTCAATTTAGCAAAAAGCCCACACATCCAGCTGCTCTTCACAACATCAAGAAAATCAGGCACATAATTTGGAATTTAAATTGTTGTGGGCCATTAAATTGGGATTGAGAACAGCGCAACAATATGGGTCAATGATCCGAGGAAGTTTTACCCATTTTGGACTATCCATTTTTACCCCACATGCGGTTTAAATGTGATCACATTTTAATGAGTTGCTCAACTTAAAAGCTTCATAAAATCCTAAAAATCAAAATCACATTTATTGAAAATTTGATATATAAAAAAAAAGATTAAGAATAATTTGTACAATTAGTGAGACGTAATGAGTAAAATCTAGAAACAAGTGGAAATATGTTTTATACTCCGTAATGTTTTTCATTTTTATCAAATATCGACTTTCACTTTTCAAAAAGTATATTTTCTAAAAATACTTTAAAATGTATGATAAAAGAAAATAGGAGTACTTTTAAAATGTGGATAGGTTATGTTATCCATTCCATTCCTTTGGCAAGATTCCCAAGCCACGATAGCACAACCATCCTCCACGTCAGCATCCACCTATACCCAAGAAAAAAGCCATGGTAGCAAATCATCATGGATTGAAAGATTGTGTGGTGGGAGACTGTCTAGCTAGCAACTCTTCTGACCAAGAGAGAACAACATCTTCCATTTCCTGCAGCGCTGCAAACTATGGCTTCCATCGCAGCGTCGACGGCCGCCGCCTCTCTCAGCAAGCCTCTCAAATCCGGCGGCGCACCCCCCTTCAGGACTGTTGCCTTCTTCTCATTCTCGAAGAAGAAGCAGACGGCTCCACCCAAGAAGCTCAAACCTTCCCCTGTAAACGAAGAGCTTTCCAAGTGGTATGGTGAGTTATCCTCAACCCCCCATCTATTAGAAGAGCAATGTTTAACAGTTAGAATAACAACAAAGCAGAATAAGCCGATTCAGGGTAGAGCTCTAAATTAAGCAATTTTGATAAAATATTGAATGAATGTGGGTATTGGATGTGGGTAAATTTGGAAGATCAATGTCAACTATATATTGAATGTAGAATAGCACACCTATCATGCAACAGAAATTTTATGACAACTAATTTCTAGGATGGAAGGAGTATTGGATTTACCGTTTTGGGTAGTAGACAACAAACAAATCGAACCCTGTAGAACGATCATGGAATGAATGTGAGTAGGATGGAGAGGGTCTCAGTATTGATGCTTCAATTAATGGGCGAATGTGTGTGTGTCTGGTACCAGGGCCTGATAGAAGAATCTTTCTGCCGGAGGGCCTTTTGGACAAATCAGAAATCCCGGAGCATTTGAGTGGTGAAGCTCCTGGAGAGTAAAGTCTTTCATCTTATTCTCCATCTTACAATCATCACGTCTTTCTTCAATTCTTGTGCTCTAACATTTTTTTTTCTGCAGTTATGGTTATGACCCTTTTGGCCTTGGCAAGAAACCAGAAAACTTTGCCAAGTAAGCTTCGCTTCCATGGGGAGCAGATTTAGGGAGAGCTTATTTTAAGAAGCCACATATTTTATGGAGCTGTCTCTACTATGCACTCATATAAACTTAACTGGGATCACCATTAACACACACTTCCATAGTGGGTCACCCACTATCAAAGTGAATGGTGAGGGTGATGCCAAATAAGCATGTATATGACTCCATACTTCCATAGGAGAGTCATTATATAGCCCCTTAAACATTTTTGACATATAATATAACTCCCTATTGGAGTCATATGGCTACATAAGCTAGTCATATGTACACAGCTTATTTTTTTTTTTGAATTAGAGAGGACATCATTACTATTAGCCTCGGCCATGGAAGTTGTGTCCAGTTTTTTTTATCAGTGTAATTTTTCTATAAAAATATCCATTTAATGGTTGGAGAGGTGCAGATATCAAGCGTTTGAGGTTATCCATGCCCGGTGGGCAATGCTTGGTGCTGCGGGTTTCATCATCCCAGAAGCCTTAAACAAGTTTGGAGCTAACTGTGGTCCTGAAGCTGTTTGGTTTAAGGTTTATTTCTTACTCTTTGGACTCCTCTCCCTCCTGGCAAGAATGCCTTTTACTTTTTTTATGGACAATATCTAATGGTCACAATGTATCCCAAACATAATTGATATCAATACTCTAGGAAGCATATCATTTGTTATTCCATGTAGCTGAGGCATATAACGTTGGTTTGTTGTTTTTTCTGCAATATGACATATGCTATCACCTAGTCTTTTATGTGTGTGTGTTGTTCATTTGTGTCAGACAGGAGCTCTGCTGCTAGATGGGAACACATTGAATTACTTCGGTAAAAACATCCCCATCAACTTGATTGCTGCTGTCATTGCTGAGGTCATACTTGTTGGTGGTGCTGAATATTTCCGAATCACCAATGGCCTGGTAAATTCATCCCATCCCACATTTCATCGATCACTACTGTCTTTTGTACTAATGCTCTTATGCTCCGTTTGGTTGTGTTAAGATGACTTGTTCTGGAAAATGCTGTTTACCATGGTAATAAGTTATTTTATGCGCAGTGTAGTGTTTGTTTATTTTGTGAGTGGATTCTGCTTACCTAGGGAGTGCAAAACTACAGTGGTTTTTGTAGAGTCAGGATCAATCCTTTCATGATGATCTGATCAAAATAATAATAGGAGCAAGACCATTGATAATTTGATATGATAATTTTTTGCTTAGTTTGAGACTAACCAACCACCACAGTAGCTATCAACAGTCTGGAGATCCACTCTTACTTAATAGGCAGGTAGACTA